CGAGAGGGCTGCACACATTAGAGGTGGCGTAAATCGGTTTCTCGCGACGTGTTACCCCTATATCTGATAGAAAATTGACGAGTTTTGATGAAAGATTTCTGCTTAAAAGTTGGTGTGTGTGATAGTTATGTTACTACTCTGGGATATATATATCTCCAATCTAGCGTAAACAAAACAAGCCTTTTTCTTTTTCTTTTTCTTTTTCTTTTTTTTTTCTTGGTAAACCCGTCCAACTACATGTTATGAGATGATGATTTACAATTTTCTTTTTTGTTTTTGCGGGGAGTAGAGAAAAGAATAGCGGTATGTCGTAAGCACGTTATTGAAACAACAGACTACCACCACCGCATTCCCAAAAGAAGGAGAAAGAAAAAGAAAACAACACATCCCTTGCGCTGAAGCAAAAGTCTAAGCGTGGAAAGAAAACCCCAATTTCAATCAATCAATCAATCAATCAAATAATCCACCCGTAGCCATAACCCCCCCCCCAATTCCACTATTTACTATTATTTTTTTCTCAACTCGAGTGCAAAAACAATTCCAGTCTGCGGACTAGATCTTGCATTTGCTGCACTGGAAGCGAGAACCTAAGTCTAGCCCAACCGTAATCCCTTTCTACGCCATTAAACGAGCGTCCGGGTGCGACCTTGATGCCGTGATGCGCCAGCGCAGCGAAGAAATGTGTTTCCTGCTGCTCGATGGTGGCTCTTTTGGCGAGGCGGGCAAAGACAAAGAGGCCGTGGGAGGCGGGGATAAAGGGCACGTTTAGCTTTTGCAGGGCGTCTGCGAGGATGCGGTAGGAGTGCGAGAGGCGTTCGCGGTTGAGGGCCAGGAGCGTGGGGAGTTGCGACCACGAGAGGAGCGAGGCGAGGAACGAGGTGGAGAGGGTGGAGGGGTGGGCGGCGGTTAGGGCAGTGGCACGCAAGAGGAGGGGGTTTTGCTGGGATATCAGACAGCCCTGTGTGGAAAAATGGCATTAAAATACTGGCTTTGAGTGTGTGGTTGGTCGTGGTATAAGGGGGATGGGGGAAGAGGACTCACCACTCGGAATCCACTCAGGCCAAACAGTTTACTCGGGCTCCACACTACATGCACGCGGCTGGCATCGACTTTGACAGCGCCTTCGGGGACGAGCGGCTCCGTGAGACTCAGCGCGCTCATAAACCCGGGCGCCTTGTCGTCGGTGCCGTGCAAGTCGAGCAGGCCAAAGACTTCATCGCAGATCAAGTGCAAGCCTCGCTCTTGGCAAAACTCCATGAGCTCCAGCAGCGCGCTGCGGGGATAGCATCTCGACAAGGGATTGTTGGGATTGCACAGCAGCACGGCTTTGATGCGGATCCTCTGGTCGGAAAAGTCGTAGGCGGCTTGCAGCGAGGGGAGGAGGTAGTTGTCCCAGTGGGAGTAAGTGGGCGGCTTTGCAACAATCAGATTGACGTTGGATCTTCTCTTGAGGATTGTTGCGAAGCCCGCTGTGAGGATGTCTTAGTATCGTGTGCTTGGGAATTAGGGTTGGGTGTATGTGATGCGTGATAGCGAGCCTCAGGATGTTAAATGTACATACGCCAGTGGGGGCCGGGAGCAAGGACACAGTCGCCGTCGTCGCAGATGGCGTGGACGACATTTTCGACGGCGTCGGTAGCGCCGGACGTAAGGACAATGTGGTCGGGCTTGACTGTGTGGATGGGGTTGAAGTATGCGTTGAAGAAGGTGGCTAGTGCATGGCGGAGTCGCGGATCGCCGCCATTGAGCGATGCGGCTGGTGCTGCAAACGCCTATTCAGTCGATTAGCGGGGAAGCACGGCATGTGGTTATGCTTCAGCCTCCGCACCTCGCTCGCAACATTGGTTTCTTGGGTGCTCTGGAAGAACTCGAGCAGCTCGGGGTGGACAGCCTCGTTGAGGGCGCGAGACAGATCAATCGTGGGTTGGACGTGTTGTTGTTGTTGTTGTTGTTGTGATGGTGGTGGCGGGGCGCTGGTCGCGAACGTCGGGAGCAGGTGGCCGAGGGCGCGTTGCGAGCGCTGCGAGAGTCCCGAATCCATTGTGAAAAGAAACTTTGGGCAAAAGCACGCGTGCGGCGCATCCAGTGCAGTGCCAGCGGAGAAATAAAGTCAGCAAACACCCTGCACGCCGCCAAAAGGGTAGCAACGTCGCATTCACCCAGGCTCCGTATCGGATATTGTGTGCGGCACAGCTGTATTCCCAACAGTTTGGTACGCGGCACTCTGGCTGCTCGGCATGGGACGCCTTTCTGGCACCAGCCCGATTGTGGGCGATTGATACGAGTAATACAAGCAGTGTGCCCTAACTCCATGGACGATGCTGATCTTGCAAGCTGCAGGATGCAAGCTGCAGGAAGCAAGCAGTCGGGGAATCTTGCATGCATGACAATCCCCCTCCAGCCTCTCTGCGCCCCCCCCTCAAAGGCCCCCAACACTGCCTGCCTATGTATGTATGCTGCCCATTTGATCCTAGCCATGTGCCTAGCCATCACTATCACACATGGCGCCCTCCCGATTCCGACCAAACGCCGTTCAAAATGCCACGAATAAAGTACCTGCAAGGCCCAAGACGACACCGAGCCGCGAAGCCCTACCGACGATGCAGGGTTAACATTGAAAGAAGGGGCGCCGCATGGTCCGTGCCCCTGGCCTTGGAGCCAGGTCGTCACGCCCCATGGACAAATTATGCCTCTCGTACATGTACACACGTCGTCTGGACGATTATTGCGGCCGTCCGATCCCCTGTTTGGCCTGCGTCTGGTGTTAGCCGGTCCATGTCCATGTCGTCAGCCCAAGACCATCATACCTTCATCATTTCTATCCTCTGCTTCAAGTTCTGCGTCACCTCTGCAGCACGCTTCCAGCTTTCGGCGCCCGAAGCTGCCTGTGACCCGATTCGAGGCACGCCGCCATTCTCAGCTGGGCTCATGCGCCCCCCGCCTCGCGATGATAGAGACGATTTGCCAGAAGCGCCATCTGCTCGCGGACTCAGCATACCACTCAGGCGACTGTTGGGGCGGGAAAGAGAGTCAAAGTTCTCCTTACCGTCAATGCCTGGGCTGCCTGGTCCACCCGCAAAACTCCTCTCTCTCCGCGCGTGCATCACCCGCCCACCATATCCAGAGTCGCCAAACTGCGCCCCGTTGCCATTCATGCTGTCCGAAAACATGTGCTCGGCCATATCCGGCATGGGCGGAGAAGACGCCCGCACCTGGCGACTCAGTTCGCGCTTCAAGCGGTCAATTTCCCGGCGCTGGTTCTGCACAGTCTGTTCAGAGGCTTCAAAGTCGGAGCGAGCACGAACAAGCTGTGTTTCCTTGGCCTTGATCGAAAGCACATCGCGCGTGTGGTCCTCGATAAGTTGCGCGTTCTGGTTCTGGAGTTCGTGCACTTGCGACGTGAGCTTTGTCCGCTCTCCCCGCAGATCCTCATTCTGTCTTCGGAGTCGTTCAACCTCTGCACGGAGCTCATCAAGCTCGGCCCGTTCGACCAGACTCAGTCCTGCAGGGGCTTGTGGGGTGGGAGCGGCTGCTGGGGCTGGCTCAGCAGCAGGCTTGCCAAGTGGACGGCCCGCCAGACCACGACCTGCACCGAACTTGGGCTGTGGCGGTGGCGTCTCTTCCTCAGGGGGCGGCGATGGGGCTGATTTCCGCGGTGAGGGTGCTCCGAGACCGGCTGGCTTCTTCAATCCTCCAAGTCTCGATGGCGCAGCCAGACCAGGCTTGGCACCCAACTTGGACGCAGCCGGCCTCGATGTCGGCTTTGGCTCGAGGGGCGCAGCGGCTTCTTCGACAGGTGGAGGCGGAGGAGCCTTGGCCGCAGGAGCGGGCTTCTTTCCACCAGGCGCTGGTCGCTTGCCCACAGGCTTCTTCGTCGGTGCAGCGGCTGCAGGCTTGGGAGCAGGAGCGGCCTTTGGCTTGTACTTGGTCTTGACCTCTGCCGCGTCGTGGAATTCCTTGATCTTGGTCTTGCGGATGTCGTCCAATCCGTCAAGGTGAGCATTCATGATGCGATCGCCCATAATCTTCCAGAGCGTTCCGAGAATCTCAGCACCAGCGGCTCGCTGAACCTCCTGTGACTCTGTGAGCAGCTTTGTAGCAGCCTCAGCAATAGCCTTTGCTTGCTCCGGCACCGGTGCTTCGCGCGTGTTCCTGAGACATCGGACCAGAAATCTCGACGATTCAAGCTTGACCTGCGGATTCTTGTGCTTCAAGAATTCCAAAATCTCTTCCAGACACTCTTGAAAACTCGTAGAAGCAAACGATGCGTCGAGCGCAGCACCAATGGCATCCGTGACCGTCTGTTTCTTTTCCTTGAGTCGCTCCATCATGGCGTTCATGACGTCTTTGCGGTACTTGGCGAAGCTCTTCTTTAGACCCTTTGCAAGCAGCTCGACACAGTTTGCGGCGGTAATAACGACTGCAATGTTGGCGTCCTTCATGCTCTTGGCAAATCCACGCACCAGTTCGTCAAAGGGGCCTTCGGCGATTCGAGGATGATCCAGGGCTTTCTGCACTTCGTCTAGTGTTTCCTTGCGGTCCTTCCATTTGGACGATGCTAGCTTCTCGCCAAAGTCCTTGGGAACCTTGGGGAACACGTCGACGGCTTCATACTCGGGTTCGAGGTCAATGGCGGCGGCGTCCTCCTCTTCGTCCTCCTCGTCGCCCCCGCCCGCTGCACCGACGGCGGCTTCCTTGGCGGCCTGTTGCGAGCGGAGCAGGCGCTCTTGTTTTGGCGGCGGCTCATCCTTGACCTTTTCGAACAACTTGTCGAGATCCTGTTGCTGGACGGGCTTCAGGTCGTTCCAGAAGAGCGGCTTCATGGCCTCTTTCAGCCATCGGTAGAACTCGACCGTCAATTCCTGCGCCTTTGCGCGAACGTTCTTGTCTGCATGGCCGTATACCTTGGGGAGCAGCTTGAGAACGGGCTTGGGCTCGATGGTCTTGCAGCCGTATGCATGGTAGATTTGCGTGAGCGCTTCTAGTGTGGCCGCGATGACCTTGGGCTGCTTGTGTCCGAGGATGGGGAGGAGCTCTTCGATGACGGGGTCGGGCTTGTCCGTCTCAATGTACAGCAAGAGCGCCTCGAGGGCCTTTTGCTTTGCGGCGGGTCGCGTTGACGGCAGGCCCTTTTCGGCAATGGTCGCCACGGTCATGTTCCGTGTCCTGCGCATCGAGTCAGCAAACGGTCCGCCTGGATAGGGGCACACGACATGTTACCGTGTGCTGCCCTGCTGGCCTGCTATGTCGAGAAAGGCGCATAGTGCACCAAGACCCTCCTGCTGGGCGGCGACGTTGGAGTCGCCGACGACGCCCTTCCATATGCTCGCATCGTTTATGAACTGGCGGACGACGGGGTCGGACTCGCTGGCGGCGAGACTGAATTCTTTGGCGGCGGCCTCGTAGCCCTCTTTCCGGACCTTCCAGTTCTTGTGTGTGAAGCGGTCGGGCAGCGGCAGCGAGCTGAAATCTTCTTGGTCGGCCATGGCGCGGGGCTGGATGCCAGGTCGTCGTCGCCGTTGTCGGGGTGGTGGAGCGAAAAGGGCGGGCTGACTGGGCGTGTGGCGGGCGGGCACGTCGGTCGCAGTCACGGGGACTGGGTGAAAGAAAGGCGCGGGCCCGGTGTTGGGAGTGCAGCGCCAGTGCAAGGGCGGACGCGGCGCTGACGTACTTGGCGGATGATGTCAGGGCGACCGGCGAGTGCTCTATGGTACTGAGTATCGACGAAATTTTTCTGCAGCTGGAGCGGGCCTGGGGGGATACGAGGGCGCGTGCAGCCGTGGCTGATGCGAGTGTCGTGGCCGGGGAGCGAGTGCGCGTGTATGTGTGTGTGTCTGGCTGGGCGATGTCAATCGCATGTGCATTGGGCGTTGGTCCAGCAACACGTCTTTCCCACTGGCGGGCACCCCTGCCTGCGCTCTCGCTCCATTGCAGCCCAGACAGACAGAGGTGGAGGGATACACACACCGCTGCCGCCCGCCCAGTGCCAGTGCCAGTGCCCAGTGAAGACCCCCCCGACGCCCGTGGCTTGCCCCCGACACAATCACCACCACAATCGCTATCCTTTGCCGGCGCCCTGCACGCCTGCCTCTGCCCTGCCCTGCCCACGCACACTCACCCCGCCACGCCTGTTTTCCCCCTGCTCACCGCCGCTGTTTTCCCCGCGCCCCCCCAACAACTCCCTCCGCACCCACGGCCCTGTACCCATCCTCGCGGCCGCACAATAGATGGTGGACTCGTGCGATTGTCGCGTATGAGCTAGTCGTTTCGCCATGAGCGCGATACTCACGGACCGCCAGGCCGAGGAGCTGTGAGTGTTGCCCCCGCCCGCTGCACAGAGGCCACCCCCCCGACTGACAGCACGCCAGGCACAAGGCCATCGTGGCCTATCTGGGCGTCATCAATGCCCCCAAGACGGCCGACGCCTTCCGGGAAGAGGCCAACATCTCCGACAACTTCGACGAGGCCACGCGGAAAAAGTACGAGGGGCTGCTGGAGAAGAAGTGGACCAGCGTCGTCCGCCTGCAGAAGAAGGTAGATGCGCACTAGCATGCCCGCCCACGCCCACGTCCCCTGCTTATGCCTTGTCTTGTAGGTGCTGGAACTCGAGCAGCGCAACCAGAGCCTCCAGAGCGAACTCGACTCGACCACACCGACCTCTCTCCTCCGCCGCAACCAGGACCCCGCCAGCTGGCTGCCCCGGGCCCCCGCGCGCCACACGCTGCAGTCGCATCGCTCCCCCATAACATGCGTGGCCTTCCACCCCATCTTCTCGTCGCTCGCCTCGGGCTCCGAAGACACGACCATCAAGATCTGGGACTGGGAGCTGGGCGAGCTCGAACGCACCGTCAAGGGACACACCAAAGGCGTGCTGGACGTCGACTTTGGCGGCCCACGGGGCGGCACGCTCCTGGCTTCCTGCTCGAGCGACCTGACCATCAAACTCTGGGACCCTTCGGACGAGTACAAGAACATCAGGACACTGCCCGGCCACGACCACTCCGTCTCCGCCATCCGCTTCATACCCAGTGGCGCAGCAGGCTCGCCGTCGTCGGGCAACCTTCTCGTTTCCGCATCCCGAGACAAGACATTGCGCATATGGGACGTGACGACGGGATATTGTGTAAAGACAATCAGGGGACATGCCGACTGGGTGCGCGACGTTGCGCCGAGCATTGACGGAAGATGGCTGCTATCTGCGGGCAACGACCAGACTGCTCGCCTGTGGGACGCAAGCTCGGGCGAACCAAAATGCACCTTTATAGGTCACGAGCATGTAATCGAGTGCGTCACAATAGCGCCCCCAGTCTCATACGCCAATCTCGCGGCCCTGGCCGGTCTCAAGAAACCACCGCCACTGAGCAGTTCGGCCGAGTACATTGCAACGGGGTCGAGAGATAAGACGATAAAAATATGGGATGGCCGAGGAACGCTAATCAAAACCCTTACCGGCCACGACAACTGGATACGCGCGCTGGTCTTCCACCCCGGTGGAAAGTACCTCCTATCGGCTAGCGACGACAAGACGATCCGATGCTGGGATCTCACACAAGAAGGGCGATGCGTCAAGACGGTCACCGATGCACATGGTCACTTTGTCAGTTGCATGCGATGGGCGCCAAACGTGGTCAAGGATGTGCCGGTCAATGGAGAGGCGCCCAATGGCACATCAAATGGTATTAGCAAGAAGAGCGAGGAGGAGGCCGCCAAGGCAGGCATACGGTGTGTCATTGCGACGGGATGCGTTGACCTCAATGTTCGCATTTTTGCGTCATGAAACAAGACGACATAATTTTTCTACCAGTTTGCAGCCTTGTCAGCTTCCTGTGCCTTCCATATCAAGAGTTGGATGTACAGACGGAGGTGCGCCACGCCCTTGCACGCACGATACTTTACGACTCTCAGATCTTACGACTTCATGTACATACACGAGTTACGCGACAGCATCTTCCCGCGTCATGGAACGGCGCTCGTAGATCGAGAGGACATGAACATGGGGTTGACGTGAAAGGAGGGAGAGAGGGGATGATAGAGTAACGAGGAAATATCCGCTTAGTATGCCATGATAGCTCAGAATGAGATCTACTTCGTGCTTCAACCAATGCTGTCCCCAACTACTGGTGAAATCGCTGTGTCTGTCTCAGTATCCACCATGCACTGGAGACTAGCGCCATGTGCTCTGTGCGTTGTTCTGTCCACGTGACGTGCGCTTGGTCCTCAACGCGCTAGCGGAGCGGAAAAATTAGCTCCAACCTCTCAAAGCTCCAACTTTTCTCGAGCAACCTACAACTTCTCTCCTACACACACCTCTACCGCTTCACGCAGCGATGACCACCAGCAATGCGACAAGATGGGTAGTCGCTTGCGCGCGATTTCCTGCTAACCCCAGCGTCTAATCGTTTTGCTACCAGCATGATCTGGCTTTGGTATGTATTCTATTCCTTCTCTTTTCATCCTGCATCTTCATGATGAATCACAAAGCCAATTAAACTAGAGTCTTTGACCTTTCGGGGTATGAAACCTAAACTTGCACGTCAGTCTGAACGCGACTACTTAATCGTATACTTGTGGCATTTGCGCAATGGGCATCTGGCTAACCAGCAACAGAACATTTTGCTGCTAATCAGCACATAACGTTCGAGCTACTCGCGATGGAGCGCTAACCTCTACGACTGGTTATTCTGCCTGTCTATGGTAAGTCATTTTGCGCATTACCCAACCCTTCTAATGATGAGCATCTGTGCTTCGGCACGCTGGAAATTACCGACCAAGGCTTCTGCCGGTGCCGATAAACAATGGCTGTTTCTGATTTTTACTTGACACACGTCGCTTTGCTCCTGTCTTTGCATAGCCTCTTGCTGACTTGGGTACTATATAGGCTCTCCTGCTTCCACGAACGAACCGGTATGCTCTATTCTTCCTCTGAACACACTATTACATGATGATCCGGCACTGGGCTCCGAAAATTCTTGACGGATATGCCTCTTAGGCAGGCCTCAGAAACCTCGCCGAACTGATTGCGTTCCACCATCTCGTACCATTGTACAGAGATAGCTGAGCATCGGCTAATAACGTGACAGCCTTACCATAAGTAGACAATGAAGGGCAGCATCGGTAAGCATACTTTGTTCTCTCTTATTTTTGCGTAATGATGAACACTTGATGACGAGTCCGACGGGTTCGCCCGGTGAAGACTTAAATCAAAATATATCCATTCATGTCAACTGATATACGCACATCCTATGTATTCTTATGCTAGTCTCAGGGATGCAATTGCTGACATGACTTTAGGTATACTCTTTTCACAATGAACATGGTACGCTCAACACCTGCATCTCTTCTTGCTATGATGAAACGACACAAACAAAGACAAGCATATGTCCAAGCTCCGGCGACGACGAGAACCGTCACGTCTGATCTGCATTCACACGTGCTTGTTGAACAACACGCCAATGAGAACCAGCAACTGATTAGTTGCATAGGACCGTGCCATGGCTGTAAGCATGAAACTTGAAGTAAGGTATGTCAGCTCTAGCGCTCCTCTCCTCTTTCTGAAGATGAACATTCAATTTATCACGACGGTCTACCGAGCTACGGCAATGGTGATAACTGCCTGTGACAGGGCATGAGTCTGATCAGCACCTTACATTTGAGCATCGTTATGTCGCAGTTGTTCATCACATGCTGACTTGTTCACCAGATTACTGTTGCGTTGCATTGTACCATTTGTGACTTGCTGCATGCTCGTGTTCTATGCATCTGCACGACATGTTTGACGAAGGGGTTTGGAAAACAACTCTTTCATTTGTATCCCTGCTCTCCTTGTTCAGGAGGCCCATGAGTGACCTTTGCACACTGCCAATGGTTCAGTCGGCCGACCTGGATCCATGGCTTTCTCTATATGCACCCCCGCCGCGGGTGTTGCGTCTTTTCTATCCATGACGAAATAACTCAATACAATCCAATTGTAATATCTCCACGAATCCGTGCTGTCAAGTGAATTTCTGCTTCCAGGTCGAGCTTGATTCCAATCAACAGGGCGGCGTCCTTTTGCTTTCCGTTGTCGTCGACAGGCCCCTTGATGATGTTGCCTGCTGGGCGGCTGAGTGAGGCGGACGAGGGAACAGGGCCAACGTTGGCAGAGATCTTGCGGCCGCCGGATGCTTGGCCTTCGCTCTCGTTGTCGGAGCCGTAGCCCGTTGGGCGCATGGTTTCCCTGATGCGGGTTAGCAGATGAGAAGTAGACCGGCCAGTCTCCAGCTTACATGGTAGACATATTGATATCGAGGTTGGGGTGAAGAGTGGGAGTGTGGTGTTGGGATTAACAATTAGGCGGGTCGCTCGGGTTCGATGGGCTCCAGGCCGGTTATTGAATGAAAGGAGGCGGTTTGGGTGAGATACAAATCAACTGTGCTAGCCTTTATTGCATGGTATTCGTTTGCCTTATATATTGGCACACACTGAGGTCTTTATCCAGCGCGAGTAGTTGTCCTGTGCCACTGCACACGTCGGAGAGAGTCCGAAACCGCTGTTGTGGCACTCCTGCGTTTGAGACGGAGCGTCATGGTTCGAGTCTCGTCCTAGCATGATTCCAGAAATGAGATCTGTATCCAGACACAAGGATGGACACCGGTCGCAAGGGCGCTGTGTCATGCCAGTGGCTATGGCACCACGTGAAGCTGAAACATACAGGGGCTGTCGACGTTCGAGTGTTGGTGTCTCAGCTCAGGCCCTACTTTCCCCCATCAGACGAGCATCAGGCCATGATAATAGAGAAAAGGCCGTCCTACTCAGTGGCAATAGCACGCATTGACTATGCTGCTTACGGTTCACTCGCAATCGTGAACAGGGCAGACCCCCATGCTTTACTCCGCACCCCAACACCCCGAGTTGATGCACCACGCTGAACATGGTCCTCTCCATCCTATTAGCAACCGTCGCAGCCCCGGGCCTACTTGGATCTCAGGAAGCAATTCGCCAGTCGCAGTCCAAAGAAAAGAGAGAAGAGCATCGCGCTCGCCGTTGCAACCTCATCGCAACATGCGTCAAGTCTTCCAACCGCAGCCGCGAAATCAACGGTCGACAGGTTGTCCTCCGCAACGGAAAACTATGGATCGATACCGGATCTGAAGATGGAAGTCCACTTGGCCATCCATATGCGGGCTACTACCTACCATACCCGGATACAAAGTACGAGGGACTCGTTACGACCATCACTGATGTTGCGCCGATTATGAACTGGATTTATGTTGATAAAGAGACGTGTGAAGTCAAGTACGGCGTGCGCGCAGATGCGCAACCCAACCTCACTGGGCCATTCGACTGCACACGACAGGATCGCCGACTCACGTTCGATGGCTGGGAGGGATGGTGTGCTGTAGAGCAAGCGCCTGGCTTGTGGGCCTTGTATTTTGATCTTGACGACGACGGTTTAAAATCAAAACTCGGTCCTGGTACCAGAGTGCTAGAAATCGAGTTGACACGAAAGGAAAAGCGGTTCCAGAAAGAGGCAGATGCACGCCAGCAAGATCAGACGACCAAAAGGTCGGTTGATACAAAGGAAGATGCGCCCGTTGACCAGCCACTTGGTCCCGAAACGCTAGTCACAAATCCGGGTGTGATGGACCAGACAAAGTCTGAAGAGAATGCTGCGCAGAATCCGAGATTTCGGCCAATGAGGATACCCAAATCGATTTTTGAGAACCCGCCGCCGATGATTGAATCTTTGGTCTTTAGGCCGGCCTCGCCACCGCCAGCGTATACGCCAGCAGCGAGAGAAGAGCCTGTCAAGGCGGAAGCAGCAGAACCTGGGGTAGCAGAATCTGGAGCAGTAAAACCTGTGACAGCAGAGAACAAGGAGCCAGATGTCGTTCCAACCAAAAAACAGCAACCCCTCGAGATACCAAAACCTGATAATGTCCAGCGACTGGATCCCTCTCCCTCTCGCTCAGGAAATATTCAATCCAAGCCAGACAATGTCGATCGAACAACCCCCATCAAACGGGATTCTCCGTCACCAGAGTTTTTGCTCCCCTCAAATGAGAAGCGGACTCCTCCTAGGCTCAACAGGAACAGTGGATCGCGAGCGTTGGCGCAAGCACTGAAATTTGAAGCCCTGGCAGCAGCGCAGAAACCTCAAGAGGCAACCCGCACAAGTTCGAGGCAACGCGGATCCCGTGCTAATAGCAATACGTCCTCTACATATTCCAACGAGGATGAAGCACGGCTAGCCATGGCCAGTATACAGCGTCAGCCGTCTCCTACCCCAGCACCTCTGGCTCTGGCGGTATCGAAAGCGAAGCAAGCAAGAGCACTGGTGACACGTAACCAGGCACCAGCAGTTACAAAAACCGTATCAGATCCGTCTATTCAGCCACCATTAGTGAAGGAAGCTGTACCGGATCCTTCCGTCCAGCGACCAGTGACGCCTCCACGCCAGTTAGAACAGCCCTTACCAGAAGACCCCGCAGTGTCTGGTCCCGGGAGAGTACCTCCTTCTTCGCAGCGACTTCGCATATCTAGACCGTCGCCAAGTCCACGCGCCTCAGCCCCGAGACCAACATCTCGATCTGGGCGGATGTCGCCAGTGAAAAGTGAGCAGAGAGAACGCTCGGGCTCCATACAGTCCTCTTTTCGTCCTCCGTCTAGACCACCGTCGTCTCGGTCGACTGGACGAAGATCGCCCGTGGAACGAGAGCGCTCAGGTTCTATACAATCTTCTTCTCGTCAACCCCCTAGACCACCATCATCTCGGTCGTCTGGACGAAGATCGCCCGTGGAACGTGAGCAAAGAGAGCGCTCGGGTTCTATACAATCTTCTTCTTCTCGTATACCGTCTAGACCGCCATCTTCAGGCTCGGGCCGCCAACCACTCACTCGAACTATGACTAGTGGAAGGCCAAACCAGGGCATGAGCAGCAGAATAGGCGGAGGGTTCGCAGGCAGAGACAGGACTGCACCTAGTCCAGGAAGACAGTTTGGTCCTCCCGCTACTGGGCAGAACCGATCAAGATCTGGAACTGATGCCAGAAAGACTACCTCTGCACTTTTCCGACAGATTGATGAGCTGGTTAGTTTGGAGAATGAGGGAAGTGCTAGTGGAGACGCTGAAGGGAAAGATATGAAGAAGAGTTGAGTGCATAATCGCTGTTAAACGCAAACTTAAAATTATTCAAGACATGCATTACTTAAAATTTTTCAGATAAAATTTATTCCATCTGTTTTTCTTTGCAAATGACCTGCCGCAAAAGCGGTGAGGGTGAGCATGCGAAATCGATTAACTGCAAAGGGTCATTCTATCCCACCATCATGCATAACTTGCTATTGATATTCTTACACGTGTCCGGCAAGCCAATAGTCTGCGAATCTTTTAATTAAGAGAAACGCAATGTTGTCTTTATCTCTCATTTGGTCAACCTAGTAAAGTTGCGCGTATATGTGACGTACCCAGGTGCGCGATTTTAGGGTGCGTCTTTTATATGTACCTCTTCCCCACCCCCCAACTTTCTCCCTTTTCCTTTCCCCACACCCAACTCCGACCCCAACAACATAAAAGAACGACAGCGAAAACACGTGATTGCATCAATAACGACGAGGATAACGACAACAACAAAGACAATAAGAACGCCAGTCTCCCCGGGTCGCCAAAGGTCCATCATACCACCGATTCCAAACACTCGCCACGTACCAAGCCCAAAGTGGGTCCATCCGTCTACCCGACCGCACCCAACCGGCAATGTGAAACTGTCACGGCTCCTGCCAGTGCCTCAGATTGTCCGGCACGTTTTAGCAAAATGTCGCACATACTCAATATATCATGCGACCATGAGGTCTGGATGCAGCAGATATCGTTTGATGGAATGATGAGGTAATACTACAAGAGAGATTGATAATAACTACGGGCGGGAAAATGGATCTACTACACACTAGCAGCAACAGCCTGGGGCGACTAGAACTTGCAGCTATCATCCTGACTGCAGGGACGAGGGCTACTCTTTTTGCCATTCGACTGGAACTTTTGGCTCGGAGGTCCCGTGAGAGCGTGCGTCCAGGATCCAGGGAGAAGAGAAGATTAAGAGAAGATAACATTGTTCGGTACTTGCTGTGGTTCTTTGCTTGATAAGCACTGGTCGAGGAGATTTTATGCTGGATCATTTTTTCTCCGCCGCGCGGACTTGGACTTTGTCGTCATACACATACACGCAACATAACAAGACACCATGGATGCATCGACACGGCTATATAAACGACTAGGCGAAATACCGGAAGACCCGAATGACCCGGATAGTCTGGACGACCTCGTCGTGTGCGCGTTTGGGGCATTTGAGCGGTACTATCTTTGCTGGAAAACTAGGGCTGGCGAGTACAAACAAGGTGCGTCGTATGTGCGACGAGAAACAAGGATCCTCTGGTACTGATGCTAGTAAAGATGACTATGGCTTGCCGCCTGCGCTGAAAGACTGGCTGTACCCAAGTGACGGTTCGACACGGGACTTTGATTCGCTACAGGTTGTTTTTGGTCGCGGAGAAGAATACTTTGCATCGGATAAAGACGGAAAGGTAGAGCACAAAGAGCCGGAAGTGAGGAAACAGACGCTACCGCTACCAGTAGAGGACGAGGAGAAGTTGGCGTTGAGGCGATCCAGGACGGTTTCTTTCTTACGCCCTTTGTCGGAAACAAGCGTGCGGTCCGACAGTGTGTTTAGCGATTCGACCAGGAGCAAGAGATCGAGTTCAATAAGCTCACAGCGAACGAGCCGGCCCCCGAGTCTGAGTTATACGAATTCGAGGACAAACTCTGAGGTATCGATACTGGGCGACACCATCCTGGAAGGACAGGCCAGCCAATCCACACGTCCATCGTACATTTCGCAGTGGAATGCCCTGAGTTCGAGTGCGCTAGAAGTACAGACAGAGCTGCTATCACCCAATTTCGAAGCACCAAGTGAAAAACAAGAATCGATATCTGTAGAACCTCTACGGACCGCAACGATACCGCTACGAGCGCTGGACGCACAGCTCACGATTACGAGAACATTGGAGGATACCCGAGTGCAGCAAAACGCCACAACAGTAAACGTACCACATTGCACATGCGGCTGTCACGCTACACCACAAGCACCGCCACCACCGCCATCGCCGCCGAAACCCGCATACGCAAACGCCACGACGCAAACGACGCCGCCGCCATCACCCCCGTCGCGCCGCAACACGACGCTCCGCATCGACACGGCGGCGTCGTGGGAAGCCCAAGACAACTACACGGAAAACAGCTACTACGAAGAGGCAGATGACTATTACGATGGCCCGCCCGTCATCATGAGCCGCATGTCGAGTTACTTTTGCAAGCCGGATTACCAGCTTGGTGATAGCTTGTTCAGCGGATACCAGCCGATTGATTGGGGCACTACGTATGTGTATCAGGATACGTTTGGGGAAGAGGCGCTGCGATGAGCGTGGGAACATGTAGTGATTTTTTTGCGGGGGGCTACGCTTGATACCTATGTTTGTGTTTGTTCTTACGGTTTACCTTTCGTGTACTAACTAGCGGAACGATATCTTCTCCTTCTCCTTTCTTCATCTTCTATTTTTCACTTTCTTCTATTCCTGTAACACCACCACGCTTCCACGAATACCCCCACGTACACCACCACAGCCCGATTCTTTTTTTTCGTCCGAAACATTATTTAGTTTTTTTTTTCTTCACTCGAATGGGGAAGCTGAAATGAGGATTTCCACGATTGTTTTTTTTTGTTTCTGGTTCGTGTATATTACTCTGTAATAAGATGACAGTGATCTGTTGTAATGCCAGAAACACCCACCCAACATGCAGATTCGCATCCACACAGATACACGCGATACTCGGTCATTTTCTCGCCTCATTTCTCGCCAAATCTGCACCACCACCACACCACCCCTCCTTCCCCCCCCCCCCAGTTTCCGCGCATTGCCACGTTCCGGCAAGATCACCACACCATCACCACACCACCACCATCATCACCACACAACCGATTTCGCATTGGCACTGTCATTTCACTCCCCCCCCCTCCCCCACTCACGTTCAGTTCGTATCCTGAGATAGGTCCTTAACTTCCAAACCCAACCTCAAGTCCACTCAGCCCAGCCTCAACCCTAACCATGCCATGCATGTTCATGTCGCATGTAGCATCCAGTATAGTAGTAGTATGTATGTATGTATGTATGTATGGTAGTACGGTACACACCATGTAAGCCGGAGGAATTCAGATGCCGAGAGACACACACACACACACACATACATACACACGATCGCACATGAAACATTAGTTACATCCCCTCCCCCCTCCCCGCCAACCCAGGTCACGTCTTACCATGGGTTTTCGTATACGTGCCAGGGTAAGGGGTACGTGTGTGTGTGTGCCAGGACCAGGACCAGGACCAGGACCAGGACCAGGGGCAAGCGAGGGCACCATAGCTCACTCGCTCAAAAGTAGTAGTAGTAGCAGAAGAAGGGAATCTGAAACACATTTCATGCGCTGGTTCTCATGTACGTAAGTACGTGTAAATAGTGCTAAGTAAACCAAGTACTTACAGCCGACGCTAATTTTGTTTCGGTTGTTTTTAGGCGCACGCTAATGATGTACTTGTAGGTGCTAGTAAGTAAGTAAGTACTTAGGGCTGGCTGGCTGGCTGGGGGGGACATGTTGTTATGTGTTGTATTTATGTATATGTGTGCGTTTAGCTATGCCTATGCCTATGCCTATATCTATGTGATGTATGTATCCATGTTCTTGTCCTTGTTCTTGTTCTTGTGTGTGTATGTGTGTATGTGTCAGACCAACACCAAGAAAAAAAAAGCGAAAGTGTCTGTGCGTATCAGAGAAGTACAGTAACCAAGTACATACATACACGCTAGGTAAGTAGAGTAAAGCCACCGAAGCTGCATCGAAGCTGCGTCGAAGCTTGTGGTGTGTGTGTGTGTGGTGTGTGTGGGGGTGGGGAGTGTGAGTCGGGTTGGTACATGGATACTAGATAGGAATTTGGAGATTAGGCTTAAGATTGGGATAACTAAGGTACAAGGTACCTGGACAACCCGGTACTAGGGCCAGGGGGGAGAAGAAATGGTAGGGCAAGGCAAGGTAGGTGTAAGCAAAAGCACGCAAGCACGCAAAAAAAAAGGCAAAACAAGCATAAGCGGCAAACTCTATCAGCCATGGTCAGCATCATCGCCATAGTACGTCGTACGTACCTTCGTGAGTCGCGGAAAATCCCATGAACATGAATCGTAAGGTTTCCGTCTCGCGATCGCATGCCCGATTCACACTTGATTCGTATTTTTTCTGGTCTACAAGCGCAAACAGCCGTTATTTTTTTTCTTCTTCTTCTTTGCCTCTCGGGTAAGCTGCTGCACGGCGGACCGCAGCGTACATAAGGTACATGGACATGCGTGTTCTGGTTGGCTAGCTGGGCTATTAGCTAACTAGGCTAAGCTAACTCGGTGTAAACTAAGTGGATGGGTAGTGGGTAAGGTGATGGTCCTCGCGCAAAAGCAAACCCCCCCAAATCATGTGCCCAGTTATGTATTTTTCCGCCGCACCGCTACTACATTGCAACATACGCGCGCGCGTGCGAACAGGCACATACAAGATAGAAGGACAGGGGATGAAAATGCATGGTGAGAGAGAAAGTGAGAGGCGCCGAGATACTTCCCCATGGTCGCGTGCTCATGCTCCGACTTTCTTACCTACTTTCTTACCTACTTTCTTACTTACTTTCTCACACATACTAGGTACTTGGGTCACATACGGGTAATTACCCCACATTACTACCAAGCAAGGCTGTTTAGGCTGAGGCTGAGGCTGAGGCTGGACTGGGCTGGCCTCTCATGGTGCTATGCAAGCGTGGGTGTGTCTTCGTGTCTTGGAGTGTCTGTGTGTCCATGTCCGACCGAAGAGTAAGTAAGATAGTGGAGCCCCCGCTTGAGGTGGCTCCGAGGACGGGGAGTTACTCGGGGGGAAAGAGCCACTCGAGGTAAGAACCGCAGTAAGAATGGTCCCAAGTACCTGTGTTGCAGAAGTAAACTAACTTGTAGATAGTTAATGTGTGGATGGAGTGGATGGGTGCATGTAGGTCAGCTCGGAGCGGGCAATGGCCTGGGCTGGCCTTGTAGATAGGTAGACAAGGGTGGTGGTCTATCTATCCATCCTGCCATCCAGCTAGACGTAGCTATTTACGTATCCAGGTACCATGTATATGTAACAGCCACAGCTGAGTTCTCGGTCAGAATCGAGGGTGGGGCGAGGTCGGGGGTTGTGAGGTAAAAAGAAATGAAAAATGGAGCCGGGTGGTGTGTTGTGTGCATGCCAATGGTTTCTTGGGTGTTCTTGGATACATGCGTCTGGGGTCTGCGGCCGATGGTAAGCGGAGAGAGTGTGGGGAATAGGATTGCGATGGAAGTCTGTGGGTTCGTTGGGTGGCGTAGGTATGGGGAAGGACGAGAGTCGGGGCCTTGTCGGTCTGTGTGTTGTTGACGTGGTTGCTTTTTCTGTTTCGTAACGACATGGACACAAGAGCCAGTTGCTTGGCGTCTTTCTTGACTCTTGCTCTCTCTCTGTCTGTCTATCTCTCCATGTTGGTACATGGTAGATGCAATTTCCACTTGAATGGTACTGTTGCTATTTCAAGTGCAGCCTCACCATTGATGAAACAGCTGGACATGTAACTTGGGTGAAACTATTCATAGTGTCCAATCACCTTAGCCACTGCCATCGAGGTCGACTATCTAGCCTGCGTCTTCAAAGTAAGCAAATGAGTAATCCTACAGCACTGTCCATCTTCTAGAAGGCACGTGTAGTAAGCCCTTGTCACCTTGGACCAAACCAAGGCACCGAGCCCAGCGGCAAGCCCCGGGCTTGCGCTTGGCCTTGGCACGTAAACATCCGTTTACCAAACTGTTATGCTCCGTAGCAACCAATGCTACCGATCCGAGTCAATGCGTTGTGCCTGTCAGTGGTATTGTCTTGAACAACCGGTTTGTATTGCGCTTATTCGGTGGCACCAGATCACACTAGAGCATGTACGTACATGCTGACCGACGATCGCCTCATGTCATGTCCAGCGTCTTCGGCGTTGGGAAAAAAAAGAAAGACCTTTGGAAGAAGCGAAGAATGCGACTGGGCGCAAGGCACAATGCATACTGATGACGCAGGCGTACCAACCGTTTGGTTGCGTGGCTGGGTTTGCACGTACCGGTTCTGCCTACGTACGTACTAGGAAAAAAATCCTATGGGTGGTGAGAGGTGATGTGACCAACAGCAAGCCCGTCTGCACGTAATTGTGCAATCGGAAATAAATCATCAGCCACATACGCACGCATAGTAATGAATGTACTATAGCGAATGACGATTCCGAGCCACCTCGGCTTTGCACATGCGCCCGTATTGGCGCCACACGTATGCAGACACGCGCCACCTCAAGCCATGGTCAAGTCTACTAAGCAGCCAACAAGACGGAGCAGCCGCGCTTCCGAGCAAAAGCGCAAAATTCCATTCATGTTGGGAAGCCGAAAAGAGGGCGGGCGGGCGCGCTGCAAGCAGTAGGTACCCTAGGTAGTACATGCACATGCACATGCAAGAGGCCGGAGGCTGCTGCCGAGCAAAACCAAGACTAACTCGAGCGACGGAAGACGAGGGGACGAGGGCCAAGGTGATACGGACATGTCGCCGCGTATACCGCAGGATAGGTCAGCGACCCATGCATAGCCTGACATCACAGGTGCGGCAAAGCTGCTGCTAGGATGCGGTGCGCAAAGATCAACCGACTAAGGGATCCAGGGACTCGTGATCTACCAGGCTACCCAGGGGGACCGAAAGGCGCCGAGCAGGGTCCGACGGCGGCCGTCAGCGCAGGCGGCGGTGACAATCGAGGGCAATGGCGTGTGTGCGTAAGTATGTGTGCGTGCGCGCGCGCGCGCCAGGAATGACTAGCAGTAGCTACTGCGATTAAGTCGGCGTGAGTGCGATAGCGACAAGGTGGCCAATGGCGCGGGGTGATAAGGTGGCAGCACTTGTCATCTGGTCGGTCCCCAAAACACTTTTGACCGGTTGCGACGGAATGATGTCGGTAGCATGATGACGATGGTCAGGTCGTCTCTCGGTCCCGTTTGGTGGCTAGCGTTGCCTTGGAAGCCCTGCGCGCGGCAGCATTCCCCCGCAGGGTCGTGGACGTGGCCAGGCGGCTATGGATGTATACATACACCGAGAGACACAGGACGTGAATGATACAGGACGGCCATGTGGTGGTGAGCAGGCGGGCACGACGGCAGCGGGCGAGCAGGCGCGCGTGCGTGTGCAGCGCAGTGCAGAGCGAAGCGTCGTGTGTGTGCATGGCATGAGTGATTTTCGCCATTGGAACGCCTCGACTGTGTGTGGTCGTGGCCAAAAGAGGCAGCCGCTATGGAGGCATGTTGGACCCGTGTATACAGGACTGTATAGGCGTGAGGGAGCGAGGGAGCGTCTGGCTGCGTGCGTGAGTGACTGCGCGAGTTTGGGCGGAGCAAGAGTGAGACTGAGAGTATGGGGTGCATACATGGTGCGGCAAGCCGTGAGCGGTGCTTGTCGGAGCAGCGGTGCTGCCAGTCAGTGGGTGGCAGGGGGTGGGTGTATGCATCCACGACGAGCGTGGTCGGTCCTTCAGATGCGCAGGCTGACAAACGGCTTGACACACGGCCATGGAGCGTCTGTCTGTCTGGTGCAGCGGGCGTCGGACGGCGACGAGGGCAGAGGGCGTTAGAGTCGTGGGGTGGGGTGGGCTGGCGGGCTGGCGGGCTGGCCGTGGTTGTGCCGCTCCAGCTCCGTCATGATGCTGCTGCTGCTGCTGCTGCTGCTGCCACCGGGCGCTTTGGCAGCCGCGCTCAGCGGCGGAGGAACGCAGCCCATCGTCCACGCCCACGTCCTTGTCGCGGCCATGGCGAGGCCTTGTCCCGTCCTTGTCCATGTCGCCCGTGGCCGCCCGTCGGCGTGTCGCAGCCATTAGCCTCGACGGCCAAGCATGTACACCGCACCGTAGTATACTTAGCCGTGTGCGTGCGTCGACTTGTATGTAGCTGTTGGTACCAGTACACCTGCGCAGCCTTGTCCAAGCGTGACACATGGTTGTGCTGCTGCTCCAGGCGCGCCCAGGTCGGCGTTGCATCAATGGTCAGCTGCGACGTGGGATAGTGGCGAGCGTAGGGAAGTGTCGTTAGTGTAGCGTGGTATAGTGTGCGCTGCCACCGAATAGCGCTGGGCCCGCCGCGGCGAGCGCAGCCTAGCGCCTCAGGTTGGTGTTTGAGCGTGCCTATGTGTCCTGAGGGCGTGTGGGCGTGTCGTATCACAAGGTGGCCGTGGCAGAAATCTCTGCGTGCTCTTGCAGCGGCTTCCGCGCCTTGCATGCAGGGCCTAGCCGAGCGCGCCAACCCTGCACTCGCCGCCTCATTGGCCCACGCGTACGCATTGGCTGCTGCTCTCCCTCTCCAGCGAACTGAGCGCCCGTGCCCGCCCCCATTCACGCTCCACCCTCACCTCTGCACTACCTCTGCACAGCCATGCGCTCGCAATCTGGGAACTGCTTCTACATTCTTCTAGGGCCCTAGCGGTCGTCGCTCAAAGGACCAGACTCTATACTTTTGCAGCAAAACAGTACAGGATAAAATAAAATAAAAAAAAGTTTTGCCAATCCAATCATAGCGAAATACTGCCACCCACCAAGTAGAGTTTAAGAAAAATAAAAGAAAATGAAAGAACAACCCCCAGAGTATATACGTATGCTTGCGTGCTGGCTGCGGCTGTTGTTGCTGTTGTTGTTGTTGTCGTCGTCGTCCATCCAACACCCTTTTCCTTCCCCCTGCACAAAACAAAGCTAGGGCTGCGGGCCGGTTATCAAAGTATACACAAGTGAACCCAAGGTCCAAACAAACGTTTAGGAATCGACATGGCCGAGGCGTGGCTATCGTCGCCCACCGGCACCGTCATCAGTCATGGCGTCATCAAAGCGAGCAGTAGCCCGCTAGTACCAACTGTTGTTGGCGTAGCAAGACATGTCAAAGTGGTTCATCGCGTTGAACCCGCCGCTGCTGTGATCGAGCGGCCACGGGTCCATGGGCACCACCTCTTCGTAGTGGTTGCCCATCGACATGGCACTGCCCTCGCCAAACTCACTCGACCCCGTACCCGTCATGCTGCCAGGCGCAGCACTCATGCTCTTGGCGTACATGGCCTCGTAGCCAAGCATACTCGACATGGGCGCAGATGTCACCGCCATCGGCACCGCCGCATTGACCGCCTCACCCGCCATGGACGTGTTGAACCGATACGCCGGAGTGTCTTCCCAGAAGAGCGACTCGCTAGCCGCCGACTGAGGCCCCTTGAACTCGACCTCGCCAAACAGCCCGACCTCGCCAATCTCAGAGTGCGAAGACGACGCAACCGTCAGCCCCGGTCCGCTCTGCTTCGACTCGCCACTGTGCGACAGCGGCTGTGCCATGTCGTCGTTGAACTTGCTTGGATCCAGCGGAAGGTCCGTCGCCGACCAGATCGGGTCAAAGCCGGCAGACGACGCTGCCCACTCCCTGTCCAGGTGCGGGAGGCCGTCTTGCGAAGGCGATGTCGACAGGCTGCCCATTCCATACGGCCCGCTGACGGGCGTTACCGCACTCGCCATCCACGGCCACTGCTGATTCGAAAATGTGTCGCTGACATTGCTGTTGGGAGAGTCTCCGCCCTGGTTGAACATGCCCGACGGGCTGGTAAACATGTCGTTGAAGGCATCCAGGCTGCTGCTCGCGCTTGGCGCCATAACCTTGTCCATGGACCGCTGCGTCGAGCCAAACATGGTGTGGTACTCGTTGTTGGAGAGCGATAATGTGTCGAGCGAGCGTGTTGTGGGCACTTCTGGCTTGGGGCGAGACGTCTTGTCCTGCCCGAGGGCCGAAAAGGAGGAATGGCCATGGAGCGTGTGGGGGCGTGGGATCTTGTACGGCATGCCCGATATGTGGGCACTGTTGTTGTTGCGATGGCAGGGCTTGTGGTGTCCGTTGGCAAATACAGTCAGATGGCTTTCCGAATGGGTGCCGGTGAGTTTGGGCTTAGCGCGCGTGTCATGGAGCGTCTGGCGAGACGTGTCGACCTTGAGGTCCAGGTCGTCCTTTTTGGTGCCGCACATGCACTTGGCGCCCGTGTGGCACTGGCAACGGTTGTCATGAGCTAGGGCATTGTTAGAACGATACGGAGCACGGCCATGCCAGCTATGAGCTCACTCTTGGCGTCGCCTTTGTCCTTGTGCGAGTCTTTGTCCTTCTTGTCGCCGCAGTCGCATTTGGCATGATGCGACTTGGACTTGCGCGCACCGCGGCAGTGCTCGCATTGCTTTACAGGACGGCCCTTGGGGTTGATGTGATGCAGATCGCGATCTTCAAACACAACGTTAGCTGGTGCAACTAGACATGATGGCCGTGACGCAGCGTGTCGGGTGACATACCAGTATGGTTACAGCCGCTTACTCGATGACCCTTTATGCAGGACGAGCAAGCCCACTTCTCACCGTCGATTACAGGCATGCCGGAAAACGGGTACGGCCTTGTGCGGTCGTCGCAGCAGCAGCTGGCTACAGGCAGCTGGGCAGGAAAGGCGGGGGGAGCGGGGGGGTTGAGCACGCGCGGCTCAAAATGGTATACAGGTCGAAACGAAAGCCACACAGGTCGTGTATGCGCGTGTAGCGATGCACGCAGAGGCAAGATCAAAAACAGGACAGCAGCAGCGGGTATGCTAATTCAAACGCCAGAGGGTATCTTGGTCAATGGGATGCTGGACGAGGACCGTGAACGCCGGGGACGACCGAGGCCGACAGGATGCAGGGTGGAGTCGAGTCGAGTGGAGTCGAGTGCAGAGAGGAGAGCAGAGGCTCGAGCAGGCTCGACGAGAGCAGGGCGGAGCGGAGCGTGTGGATATCAGAGGGGAACCGAGCGCAGGAGGCGCTGGCCGAAAGCGTTAGACGGAGCTCCTTGGGTACGACCAGACCAGTATGCAGCGTCGAGTGTTGTGCGGATGAAGTAGTGGTGGGAGAGGGAGAGCGAGCGGGAGGAACAGGTTAAGAGGGAAGGCACACGGGCCTGGCGGGCGTGTAATTGGCTGTGGAGCTTAGCGTCATCGGCAAGTGCGCTCAAGCCGGGCTGCTTGAATCTGCAGGCGCGATCAGCCATCGTGACGGCGGGCAGTGGCGGCCCCTTTGGGCTAGCGCCAGATGCCCACAGCTGCATGCAGGCCAGCAGCGCCTTCTCACCGCATAATCCTGTCGTCCGCAGGGCCCGTTGCCGTCTTAGGGATCATGACCTGCAGCTTGTTACTTAGCCGCTCCACACCCGCCCAGAGCCACCGGAGCGCCCCCTCCCCTCGCCGCCCCTCGCCTCTCCCCCTCGCCTCTCCCTCGCCTCTCCCCCTCGCACGCCCACATGCCATCCACACCCCCCCGAGCGCCCGCCCACACATCCACGCACCCCGACCCCTCCCCCTCGACACACTGACGACGCGTCCTGGGCTGTTGCGCTGACCGCCTGTCCACATTATGCGGCACTCCACGCACCGCCTGTTTCACTGCCGGCGCGATTCGCTTGTCGAGTCAGCTTGTTTCCTGCCGCGACGCCCGTAACGCAAAGCGTCCAGCGCCCGTTGCCAAGGGGAGATCATCGACCTTTGTTTGCAGTCCATCCTCGTCGAGCAGTGCTGTCGCCGGTGCCCATGGCAAGCCATCACCGACCGGCGCATGGCCACTCCAGTCCATGTCCACTCCACGTCGCGTCCACGTCCCGTCCACGTCCCCGGCAGCGCTTTCGCAATCTGTTGAATCAGCCGGTGGTCCGCAGCGCGAGGCGCCGCCGCCGCCGCCACCATGCCAGGTGCTATCTACTGTGCGGTAGCCATCAGTCTGCCCACATGCGCTAGGCCTAGGTACACCAAGTACCTGCTCTTGCGCCTGGCGAAAGCCTCCCCACGCAAGCGGAACCCCATATCCCTTCTCCGTGGGGTACGAGCCCGCCCGCGCCATCTGGGGTTCTTGGTACGCCTGCTGCCAGCTGCCGTCTGCCTGTGTCTGCCGTCCTGGCCATGATCCACTGCCTGAGCACTCGGGGCACCGCGTCGACACTGGCGTCGGTCGGCGCACAGCGAGAGAGGCTCTCTGCTCACATCTGATGGGTCACCCTGTCCGTGGGACCCACCCCGGACACTGAATATTTCCGAGAAAGCAACGTAACCGCGTCTAGACAGGGTCACTATGAAAAAGCATACCACACAGCACATCTTGTCAAAGGTCCGGGGCCGAGTCGTGCTATGGCTTAGTCTGCCCAACTAGCAAGTGCCTGTTGGCTCCAGCCACGCCTGCTCCAGACGCCTATTTCCGTCTGTTAGCACGGTCGCCTGAAAAGATCCGCCTTCACGCCGGCTTTGGCTGCCTATGTTGCACTCGGCCCGTAAGGAGGACCACCTCGTGTTTTGAACTAGCATTGCGCCGAACTCAATCTGTCTGGGAGCATTTGCATAGAGACGTGTGTGTGTGTGCCAATGTGAACACACAGACTGGCCCATGCGGTTGCGAAGTTGCGTTGCATGTGTACAATGGTACTTATAGAAACATGTGCTAATTTTAATCTTGCAATCCCATGTCGAGTGCCTCTGTGTTGTAGTCATGTGCAGTGAAGGGGGGGGTTTTTTTTGCGAGGCGCACATGTTTGTTCTGCTCTGGCTGAGCAAGGTGCCTCGACTGGCCGTCCCGGAGCCGTACGGTGGAAGAGATAATCCGAACAGCGACCACAGTCGTCACCAACCAGCTAGTTAGCTCCCCAAGCACCACAGCAGGCAAAAGACATGCCAAAGTCATTGTGTCCGACAACCACCATCATGTTGTTGCCGTCATCCCACACGCCCAGCGAGAGCCTCTCGTCTCTTCCCATGGTTCACGCTAGCGCAAAAATCGCAAAGCTCGCACAACTTCCCTCGGCCTCTTCTCAACTGCCCGTTTCTCTTGCCCTACACCACCAACCCACTTTACGCGCGATCGCGTAGCCAGTTTCAACCCGCCCTTTGAAACCAAGCCACCTCAACTCCATCCGCCTGCGCCTATCGATACAACGCGCCCACCATGGCCGGTTACGCGGACCCCGACGCGCAGATGGGCGGAGGGCCAGGTCAATACGCGAACCAGAACGGCACTCCACCAGCCCCGCAACACCAGTTGACCGATCCCGAACTGCGCCTTCAAGAAAACCTGCAGCAACTGCGCGAGGGGGGAGACATGATGCATCCGCCGGGCCCGCAACAAGCACAGTACCAGCAGATGGCGCACATGGCGCCGGCAATGGGCGCGCATCCCCATTTCCAGGGCCAAGCACGTCCAACACACTCTCCACAGCAAATGGCGCAGCATGTCATGAGCCTCGAGGGCCACCACGACCCGTACGACCCCAACGATCCCACCCGCAAGCGCTCAAAAGTCTCGCGCGCGTGCGACGAATGCCGTCGAAAGAAGGTGTGCCATAGCCATGTCACCATGCTCTGATGCTGCTGCTCACGTCATTCAGATCCGATGCGATGCGACCAGCGAAAATGGGCCCGAGGCTTGCTCCAGTTGCAAGAGGACAGGAGCCCGCTGTCAGTTTAGCCGCCAGCCTATGAAGCGCGGCCCCAGCAAAGGGCATGTCATGTACCACTCGTCCATCCATGACCACGCTGACCATTTCCAGCTACATCAAAGAACTCGCAGACCGGCTCAACTCGCTCGAAAGCCAAATCCACCATCCCTCAAACGCTTCGCATAATTTCGACTTTGGGGCTCTGGGAGACCAGACATTCCCGGATACGCAGAGCCCACCCCAGTTCAAGCGCCAACGCACCCATTCCATGACCGAGGGTTTTCACGAGGCCTTTAGCCGTCCGAATTGGACCGCCCAGGACCGAGGAAATGCAGGTGCCGTCGATGCACATGGCTTGCCTGTTTTAGGCGACCAAGAGTCGTCGCTCAATGGCAATTGTCGCACCTCATTTGGCGACATGAATCTCGGTGGTAGTCTCATCACCGGCTCGAATGAAGAGACTCTCAAGGCGTACGTGCGCACCCTCGCCAAGTCAGTGGCTGGCACTAATGTGACCCTAGATACTATAACATCATACACCCCACGTTGCCAGTCCTGCCCCACCATGAATCGCAACTTAACCGGCTTACCCATTGCCCTTCCAAACTACGGGAAACTTTCTTCATGACTTTGGAAGGCTGTATCCGTTCGCTTGCTTCAAAGGCCCTGCCACCTCTTGAAGTGGGCCTGAACCAGTTGCTGCAGCAATGCTTTGCTTCGGTTGATGCAGCCAGCTACTGTCTGCATGACTCGGACAGTTCGCGGCAATTCTATAATCATCTGGTGTATTGCCAGTCTATGATTTTACTCGCCGCAGCGTCTGACAGACCTGGCCCCGGTGTTGTGGGAAGCACGACAACACTGCTTGCTAGGATCTCAGCCTCTATTGCCGATGCTGGCATCAATGATGCAAGGACCCTGACGACGATCAAGGAACAAGACCATGAAGTATACCAGACGGCGCGCCGTGTATACTGGACTGCTCTGATCCTAGACCGATTTCACGCCTCAAGCAGATCCAAGGACATGATGATCCGACGATATAGTGGAACTCTCTCGCGGGATGACTACACAGCGCTTGGTGAAGTCGGTTATTACCTTGCCCGTCAGTATAAGCCCGTGATTCTTCAGGACCAACCAAACTAAAAATTGAACAGGTGCCGCCCAAATCGTAGGCCGAATAGCGTATGTGAATCGCGCAGGCAGCATTCCAAACGTCGAGCCTTCAGCCCCCTTTGCCTTTTCTGCCCTCAAGCCCGGTACTGCTGAATCAGAGTACATTAACGGGTTACTAGACGAGATCAAGCAGTCCATCGATCTGACCACGCTGACGCGCAACTCACCTCCCCATCTAGCGCATCAGTATCTGCGCGTGTTCATTGCCAGACTTTCATTGCAGAACATACCTTCAGCTGAAGTTCTTCATGCAACTCAAGAACTCCTCAACAACCTGATGAGTGGTGCCATAACCCCGTTACATCACATCTTCGCCGCACTAGTAGCAACCTCACTTACTGAACTATCCGACCGAGTCGAAACACAAGTAGACGCACAGTCGAGCATCAAAGAAATGAGTGATGCCCTTGCCAATGGCCAGATTATTCACCGTAGCTCCGACGGCCTAGGTTGGGAGACAGCCATTAGAGATTTGCTGCATCAGAAGAAGGCGTCGACGCCTCCTTTCAACGGCCCCGAACAAGCCAGTCCTCCGCTAGAACCCAACATGGCTGGTCTCCAACATCTCGCTGCAGCTGCAGTGGGCGAGCGCGAAGGAACTGGCGAGAATCGTCCCGGAAGCTCATCGCAGCAGAAGGTAGACAATGATCTCTCTGCTGCCATGGCCGCTGCAAACGAGGCAGCTAAGGCGCAGGCCCAGGCAACTGCCGCCGCAGCCCAGGATCTGTTCCACTAGCGCAGCGCTGATGGAACGTCCAGTCCAATTCTTGTCGTCACCCGATATACCCCTTTACTGTTTCGTTAGCAACTCTCATGTTTATATTCACTTCCATGTCCATCTATCTGTATGCTCGACTACTATACCCGCTATGTGGGTTGATAGACTTTTGAATAGTCAAAGGATTTCATGTCAAGGTTGGGGAGTCTGGAATCATATCAATGCTCGGTGATTCTGAATATGAGTGCACAAGCATTGAATGTTAATGTATCCAACTTTCCCATGAGCAGCCTGTGTTCTTCAGAGACGCTTGAACTTGTTAATTTACATCTGAAATACAATGTATCCATGAAAGCCAACACTAGATTTTCATATGAACTGAATGCATAGAATTGTCTTTGATGAAAAGATGCAGAGGAATCCAAGTATCGTCACGGCCCACTCCTTTCCAACATTACGCCTGATTTCCAACAGAAATCCCCCTCCTTCCTTCAATAAAGCCTCCCACACCAACAACAAACAAACAAAAAAAACTTTCTCCCCCGAAAAAACGGAAAAAAAATTCTTACTCAAACTCACTCCTACTCCTTCTTCAACCCCGCTAATCACACTTCCTGCTCCTTGATTCTATAAACCCCATCGCTTTACGCTCAGTCGTGTTCGAACAAACCAAAATGCGATTTGTTCAAGACGAAGACGAAGAAGAAGAAGAAGAAGAAGAAGACTTGTATAGAAGAGGAAAAGGAAGAAAGTACAGTGATTGGTGATTTCTCAGGGCGAGAAACCATGTATACATCGTAAGCAAGTTGGGTATTTAACATCATCATCATCGTCATCATCGTTATTAACCCAGGTATCGTATTATGTCGTATCCTATCGTAATGTGTCGTCACTATGGAACGAAGCAGCGAATAATCACACTTATACTTTGTGGGACTTTATATACAGCGCCTCTCTGTCTGTCTGTCTGTCTGTCTCTGTATATAGAACGCGTTATTAGTGATTCTCGTGCCGTCGGATTGCTGGATTTGCGTGTGCGTGGAAATGGTGTGTGGTGTGGTGTAGCGAAGATGGATATATATGTCTCAAGCTGTGTTTACTTATAAAGAAGTGGTACTAGACTGTGTAGCGTCGGTTACACGAGGCCTCGATTTTCAGCGAGAGGTTGCAAGGGCGCTGGGTGGTATGTGTGCTGTTTTCTTGATTTATGTTTGATGGGGATAGGGTTCAAGCGAAATGGAGAGAGAGCAAAAAGGGGAAGATGGAATGATGCAAGGGTTGTTGATATTTCCGGCTTCAAAGTGTGCGGTGGGGTATGGGTACTTGGGTTGGATACAGCGAGGCCAGAGTCGAGATTCCATCGCATGGTACTGCGTTGTGGCTTTGCTCCATAAAGATGGTGGTTGGAAGTAAATACTAAATTTGAACTTCTGCGAGACGAGATTTACGCAGATGCACAGTGCCCCCCATCTACCCTCAGGTCCGCACCAGTCATAAAACGACTTCCCTCTGCTAACAGAAAGATTGCAGGCGCTTTAAAGTCATCTGGGACCCCCAATTTGCCCAGCAGCGCACCAGCCATCCACGTCTTTTCTACATCGGGGTCGGTTTCAAGTAGTGCGTCTGTCATGGCGGTTCGGATATACTATATCGGTACATTAGCGAGACTTGTTCGAGTAGAGACAGAGGATTCCATACGCCTGGTGAAAGAGTATTCACGCGGATGCCGTACTGGCCCCATTCCTGTGCGAGCGACCGGCACATCTGGTGGACAGCTGACTTGCTGGAGTTGTATGCAGTACAGGTTAGACCCTGGAGGCTTGTTAGACGTGGGAACACATCAGAATTCAAGACTGGATAAAACGTACCCTGTTTGCTATCTGGCCCGACATGCTTGCAATGAGGACGATTGATCCACCTGTGCCCTTTTCCTTCAAGATCCTGGCAGTCCGCTTGACTGAGATGAATGCACCCACAACATTGACTCTCAACATGCGCTCAAAATCCGAGGCCTCGTAGTCGAGCGCGGGAACTCTTTGCTGGATACCAGCACATGCAATCATGCCGTTGAGCGGTGCGCCGTGACTGTCACCGTCTTGTGAGATTTCGTCGAGGACTTGCGTGACTTCGGCTTCGCTCGTCACGTCACATTTCCGGTATGTCGCGGTAGTGCCAAGTTGCTTTGCAAGCTTCACGAGGGCTTGCCATTCGATCTCGCTGGGTTCGGGAAGGATATCGAGACACGCTGCGTGGCCGCCGGCTTCGACAACGGCGTACGCAAGCGTAATGCCTAGGCCTCTTCCACCGCCAGTGATTGCTATCGTCTTGCCTGCGAGAGAGAACATTGCGGGTATTTGTGTGTTTGAGGTTTGAGTCGCACTGGGTGCTAGTGCTTCTGTGACGGATTGAATCGCAGAAGGAGCCATTTCCGGTAATAGGGCAGTGAATAAGGTTGGCAATGTAATTATGTTTTGCTCGGGAGGAAGATGATGGCGAGAAAATCACAGCGTGGCAGCAGATTCTATATATCTATCGGCGGCGGCGGCGAAGGCGGCGTTCTCCACAGTGGATGCATTGTTGCGTGTATGCCTACTGTGTTAAGCCTCTGTCGTGGGCCCATCTAAAAGCTTCGAGCGCACATATATAGAGGCACTTACACCAACGTATGCGGGTCGAGCATTTCTCCAACGAGAAGGCTTCCGCATCTGCAAAACAGGCAATCTTTTCCACCGCCAAGAAGGTCAGTATCATGATTCGCGCAACGCGCATGACAGCCCACCACCTGCGCGAACGCCTTCCTAAACGGGAAATTATTTGTATCGAACCATTCCCGCCGCTTTGGATCCCATTTGATTAATCTGGGGAAGAATCTGGGGCTCTCCAGTACTAATACGAGGCATGGAGAATAGCCACAATGCTGTCGGGCCGAGAGTCGGAGAATGGTGAATACCATGTATATAATGCCCCAGCACCTGTTCATTTTCGGGCGCACCGGGCTGCGCCACTGGAAGTATTTCACAACTTTCTCCTGCCCTCTCCTGGGATAACTTTCCCTATCCTGGCAAGAAGGGAATGCTTGCTTTGAAATGGCATATCTTGTTGGTCGGCCGTTGAACTTGGCTATCACGGCCACAGCAGGTTGGGGTTTCATCCTGTATGGCTACGACCAAGACGCCATGTCAGACTTGCCCCAATATTACTTTTTCTCGATCGTTTCCCGAGATTGATACAACAGACAGTGGCAGCGGCAGTTCATCGCTCCAGGGCACTGTGGTAGCCATCTACAATATTGGATGCTTTTTCGGGGCCATCTTCTGCTTCCTGCTTGGAGAGATACTTGGAAGCACAACCTCACCCACATCCAGAACACTGTCCAAGAAGAGGGTACAGCGCAGGTAGGAGGAAGCTTCAAGGCCATGTTGAGGAATGGAGAGCAGAAGTTCCCATACAGGGCCCTGCTAGACATTGGTAGCCAGTTCATGCAACAGTTGTTTGGCATAAACGTGATTACACATGTCAGTTTGCGAATCGAGCATATCTTAAGCAAAGCCTCTTACACTGCTGCAGTATGGTCCAGTCATCTTCCAACAGTCAGTGAGCATGTCTCGAGATATATCACTATTGCGTGCTGGATACAATGGAATCGCGTACTTCCTCTCGTCACTGATTTCTACTTGAATCATTGAGCGCCTGGACCGTCGGAAGTTGATGCTGTTTGCGGCCGGAGGATAGGTAGCATGTACGTACCAAGCGTGGCATTGGAAAATAAGCAAACACACTAACTAGATCTGCCTAGGCATGGCCGTAATTGTAGGGACAGTCATCGATGGAGGCAAGGATGCGGGCATCGTGGCTGTTGTCATGCTCTTCCTCTTCAACTTCTTTTTCGCTGTAGGCCTGCTTGCCATCCCTTGGCTTTTGCAGGCTGAATATGCCCCGCTCGCCATTCATACCCGCGCCACCGCTCTCGCCACAGCGTCAAACTGGATCTTCAAATTCCTAGTGGTTGGGATTACACCCATCAGCATTCACTGCATCGGATGGCGCACCTATGCATACATTGGTGTATTCAACGCCTTCTTCATACCATCAATTTACTTCTTCTGCGCCGAATCGCATAGGCTATCGCTGGAGAATATTGACAAGTTGTTTACGGGTGGTAGAGTCAGCATGCATTGAAAGGATAGTTGGGGAAAGGCCGGTGACTTGCGAAGAGCGAGCATTGTGGAGGCGGTCAAGAATGAAGATGTTGTGAAAAGAGACTGCCAGGGTGGCATGAGCTAATTGGAAGAAGATTGACCGTGATTTAGAGATGACGTCCATAGAGACAATTGAACTTTTACAAGAAGGTATGTTAATGCCCTTGTTGCAGCATCTCAGTTTGCGAACCGAAAGGATATATCCTGTCGAGCAAAAGTTGTGCCAAATTATCAACGCCATCAACACCACAGGAACCCACCGTGGTCGGGATACTTGGATAAACACGAGGCTGTAAATCCGCCGGACCAGCCTCATCCGACACACGTGCTCGTGGCCAAGATGCGGGGTACCCACATGGCGTAGCCCTCCCAGCTCTAAGCAGTCTGATCTGCATATGTACAGCCATGAAAATATATAAGTCTCAGATCGACACTTCTTTTTGAGATTGAGGCCTCCACCACTCGGGCTCGGTCGTTGGGCATCACCCTTACTCCGCAACTGATGGCGGAGGACAGCGGAGCGTTGAAGCGAGGAATCAAAAAGGCAAGGACACGGCACGGGTTAGAGTCGCATGCAGTCAGTGGAAGAATGAGCGCGTACTGACATCATCTTCAGGTGTTTGAACTGCAAGGTCAAGAGACGGAAGTGTGACGAGGTGAAGCCGACATGCTTGCGCTGCAGTGCCAGGGATGAGAGATGCGAATGGGCATCTCGCCTTACCTTCCGCGCTGAAAATGCGCTGGGCATCGAACCATCACTGTTGCATCGGCCACCAGGACGGCCACCCAAGTGCTTCAGAATCAAAGATGTCACTGCAGAAATTATACGCGACTATCAACATGAGGTGCCGAGGGATGAGGCTGATGGTTCCGAGCAGTCTGATAGTCTGCAAGCCACCGTTTCCAACGATCCGTCACCCTCCACGGTCAATGATCGAAGTGCGTCATTCCAAGCCGGCTCATGCTGGAGACCAAACACACCGTTTCCAAGCACTGAGGAAGACCTTAATCACCTGCAATCTCATGGATATGTATCAATGCCTACCCCTGCGGATATAGAGTCAATCTGGAGCAGTCCGGTCACTACCGCCTATCTAGACGACAGCATCTTCCTTCCAGGATCAGCATACCTTGATGCCCATTCGACATTCCGGAACCATCTCAAACAAGAAGTGCGTTCGAATGACGCTACCCGAGAAGCCTCGCCTGACCCTTCACGGAACACTCAAACGTGGACCGTAGACGTGAACTTTGATCCACTGGGAACAAGACGCAACACACACCTCCCGTTCGACCCTACTCTTGGTGAGGGGCCGAGTGTAACGCAATCCTCAATGCTCCAACTATCTCAAGAGGAAGAATTCGAGCTATGGAAGAACTGGCTCGACGAAATAGCGCCTTGGATTGACAAGTTTGATGACGAGCGTCACTTCCAGCAGAAACTCCCTATACTGGCACGCTCGCATGACCACCTAAGGTATTCCATGCTTGCGCTATCTGCGCGGCAGCTGGAGCGAAAGAATCATAGCAGACACACCGAGCGTAGTCTAGCCTTGTATCAAAGAGCCATCCAGCTTGTTCTGCCGCAACTGCACACGCGCAGCACGCCGGTCATAGCAACATGCGTGGTCTTGTGTGTATTGGAGATGCAAAGCAGTTCGGCAAAAGCGTGGCACCAGCATTTGGATGGTTGCGCGCACTTGATCGAAGCAGTGGGAATCAATGGCTTCTCTGGCGGCCTCGACCAAGCCCTGTTCTGGTGCTTCGCACGCATGGATGTATGCGGTGGGCTTATTGCATCGTCCAAAACGCTCATACCTGTCGAGCGCTGGGCGTTAGGCATGAATCTCGACGCTGATATGAATCTCTTTCGAGCGAACAAGGGATACAATGCCCACGCCTGTGAAGCCGTGTACCTCTGTGCACAGATACTCGACTTACTTTCCTTCCACTCCAATCTAGCTGGGCGCGTCGGTGCCTCACTGCCTACACCCAAAGTCCCAGACGCGGGCTACGCAGCTAGATGGATGAAGCTCTGGAACCACATTTCGGCATGGTATGATACGCGTCCTGCAGAGATGCTCCCCGTACTGTCCATCACCAGTTCCACTTCGCCGTTTCCAAAGATCCTATACAGCAACCCTGCCGCTATCTCGGGCAACCAGCTCCACCACACAGCATCCATTCTCATGCTCAGACACAAACCGGCAGGGGTCAACATGACACCAAAACCCAACTCCATCTTCTGGCATGCCCGCCAGATCTGCGGCATCTCCATCAGCAACGACCACCACGGCGCGTGGACGAATGCCATACAGCCTCTGTGGATTGCCGGGCAGTGGATGAGCCACGAGAGTGAGCAAAAGGCGATCCTGGAGCTGCTGGACAAGATTGAAACGCAATCGGGGTGGAGTACAAAGTGGCGTGCAGAAGATCTGAAAGAGTTCTGGGGCTAGTGTAGCGATTTTAGTATTTGCCGCGTTCCGGCACGTGGATAAGGCCCAGCATGCTACAACCTAATAATGCAATGTTGATATAGAAGTGCGTGCGTGCCATGAGAAACAGAGGGGACGTCGAGCATGTGTCAGTGAAGGGCGCCAACGCGTGCGTGTCTGAATCAGCAATGACGGCACCAGCGCACGGACAAAGTCGGGGCTAAGGGCGGCGATGCTGACTACTTGGCTTGCGCTGCTGCTCCCTCACATCTGCCGCCGCCCGAGACTCGTAGAAGGCGGTCGAAGGGCGATTCCGTTTCCAGTCTTCTGCTGCCTGGCCTGGCTTGCATCTCCCAGCTGCATCTCCGCCTTCTGCACATGGCTGGCACCAGCAGCTGATCAACGCCATCTGCTGCTGCTTTGGCTGGCATCTTCCACTTTCACGTTTAGCATTATACCCCCCCATAGATCCACGACTAACCCCATACTATACCCCTGCTGCGGCCGATTCGGCATTGTATGCGTCTACACGCTGTGCAGCACACGCACTCCCTGTACCGGCGCCACTCGCCATCCTCGCCCAGCTGGAGCGCCCCGCCACCATGTTCACGAGCTTCACGGGAAACCCGCGTCGAGCGCGGCAGGTCAACCTCAGTGGAAAGAAGACGAACCCATTTGGCCCCCCGGGCTCTGGTGCTGGATCACAGGCCGCCCTCGACCGCGCCCAACAGGATCGAGCCCAACGGCAGCGCGAACGAGACACATTGAATGCCGCCAGGCGAATACAACGGCTGTGGCGAGGCCATTCGGCTAGGAAACGTATAGCGGACCAGGCACGCGGTGAATGGGACGCCGTAGAGGGCTCCGACGGCCGCTCCCAACAGACGCCATATGCCTCTGAAGACGAGGCTCTTGCCCAACTGCGGCGGCTGCTTCGCTTTGCTTCCACCCGGAGTGAAGATGACCTCCGACGGATACAACATTACGGCGCGAGGCAGATGCAAACAGTGTCCTCTTTGGGCATCACAGCGAGTGGGCCATGGCCGTCGGCATATCTAAGGCTGCAACGGATACTGCTCGTCGCCATAGAACGACAGCTCAAGGTCGCATCAGCGCAATGGAACCAGGTTGGACAATCTCTCGCCGTCTTGCGGTTCCTAGCAGACCAAATCCCTGCCGAAACATCCCGTAACGCCCAACATTATTACCGCGCCCTCGCACAAGTCGTCTCCAGACTGTCTCCCGTACTCGAGTCGCCGGACAAGGATGGGTTGGATGTGGTCAAAGTCATACTCGAGACCATCATCTCGCCACTGAAGGTCACCGGATATACATTGGACGCCTACGAGGCCCTTGGCATACACTTCCTGACACTGCCGTTGTTGAGCTCAGACTCAACATCGCCACCCATACAGAAGCTTCGAGACTCGCTTGCCGACTCGATAAATTACAAGCTACTTGCAAACGCACTGGCTACTTTATCCAAGAGATCGGGCTTGCAGAACAAGCCAGAGTTGCGGGGCCTGTTGAGTCGGCTACGCCTGCTGGGAACCTTCATCTTCTTCCATCGCTATGCCCACAACTTTGATACCCCGGAAGCGTATGCTGTTCACAAGGACTTTGTGTCTGTAGTCTCCGTCCTTCTGAATTCGCTGCCGGTCAACATTGTTGACAATGATCATCCCATTGCAGAGATTGTGGAAGACGACGGAGACAATCAAGACTCTGGCGCGGTGACAAAATTTCTGAAACAACAGGTCGAATCCTTGGTGCACCAAGAAGGTATTGGCAGTCTTTTGGCTGGCTCATCGCAATCCCAGGATGCTCCTGAGGATGAAAAGGTAGAAGAAGCACGTCAGCTGGCCAACTATGCGCTCGCCCTACTGCGCTTCTTTCCACGAAGAGGCGACGAGATACGCATGTGGCTTTACATTGGCCCGACCGAGTCATCTGGGAAGAGCACTCGAAAACTGCCCGCTATTCGGTATTTCTGGGAGGCATCGAGGAGGTCCTCGGTGTTTACGACAATCTTCAAAGACTCGCGGGCAGCCATTGGTTTGCTGAAGCCGAAATCACCCGACACCAGCAGCTCAGATCGCCCTGGCACTTCAGGCCTGACACAGCATGGTTTTTGGCAGCCAGCGCAACAGCAGGTAAATCGCGATGCTGTCGTTACCGATGAATGGCGGGTCATTCTAGTCTTCCTGGAACTGTATACATTTGTGCTCAAAGTAACAGATGACGAGGAGTTTTTCACTGCTGGACAGCAGAATGCCCACTCTGGGCAGTTCCGCGATAACAGCCTGCCATTGAGCGAAGTAAAGGACCTGACGACATTCTTGAAAAACGTGGGCTTCACACTCTACTTCAATGCAGTCGACATCACGACGTCGGAAGACAACGCAGAAAGCAGCAACACGGGCTTCAATTACTTCAGCCCTAAAGCAACCGATAGTCAGGCCCAGAAAGAGCCGGTTGAGCCATCTACAGGCGGTGTCGCGGGACTGAGGATTGACTACGTAAAAGGACTGGTCACAGGTCTCCTTCGTATGGTTTACGAGCGTGATTCTCGACGCAAGTTCTTGCCGCAAGACCATTGGCTGATGACTTCGCGATTCGACATGACTGGCTTTATTCCTGCTGTAGTTGAAGAAGAAGAGTCGCGGCATAAAATTCAAGAAGAAGATGGGGAGGACGTGGATGATGAGGAGGAGGAATTCGACGATACCCCACAGCTGATTGGGACGAGTCGAACACAGCAACAACGAAGACTGGAAAAGCTGCAGCGACAGCAACGCAAGGCCTCAAGGAGAAGGTACCTCCAAGCCGTGGCTCCTCGATTGGAGATTTTGCAGAACATGCCTTTCTTCATACCATTTACAACCAGAGTACAGATCTTCCGTGAGTTTGTTCACCTCGACATGACCAAGCGACGAGGTGGCTCTGATCCAGAGCTCTGGCGATTCAGGCTGATGCAGCAACCAAACGCCCGTGGCCAATTTGAACGGCACTCGGCAAGGATCAGGAGAGAAAACGAGTTTGACGACGCATTCGAACAGTTTTATGATTTGGGCCAGGGTCTCAAAGAGCCTATCCAGATTACCTTCTTGGACCAGTTCGGGGCACAAGAGGCTGGTATTGACGGAGGCGGTGTCACCAAAGAGTTCCTGACGAGCGTGACCAACCGAGCCTTCATGCCGACAGACTACATTGACATGTTTGTGGAAAATGACCAACACTTGCTCTATCCAAATCCCGCGGCGCTCGAAGAACACAAAGAAGCTCTACGACAGGCTGGTATTCGCGAGGGCTCACAGGAATATCGTGCTCAGATCACCGAGTTGCTTCAACGCTACGAGTTCTTGGGTCGTATCATCGGAAAGTGTCTGTATGAGGGCATCTTGGTCGATGTCAACTTTGCGCCCTTCTTCCTCCGCAAATGGGCCCTAACAGGCGGTGCTGGTTCCGCGCCTAATGAGTCAGGGTACCGTCCTACGCTCAACGACCTTCGTGACCTGGACGAAGAACTGTATCAAGGCCTGCACAAACTCAAGACGTACCCTGGCGACGTTGAAGATTTCTCGCTCAACTTTACCGTCACGGACACGATTATCGTAGACCACACTACGACACCCAAAAAGACCAAAGCCATCACCAAAGAGCTTAAGCCCGACGGCTCCAACACGCCAGTCACCAACCAAAACCGCCTGGTCTACATCAGCTACATGGCGCGCCACCGCCTGCAAAACCAACCCTATGCGCAAACAGCAGCGTTCCTCCGCGGTCTCAGCACAATGATCCAGCCATCGTGGCTCTCCATGTTCAATCAGTCGGAGCTGCAAACGCTCATCTCGGGCACGCGCACGTCGATTGACGTGGAAGACTTGCGGCGCAACACCATTTATGGAGGCACGTATGTGATTGGCGACGATGGGCTCGAACACCCGACAATCCAGCTGCTGTGGAAGGTCATGAAGGAAATGTCCGACGACGAGCGCCGCGCCGTGCTCAAATTCGTCACGAGCACGCCGCGTGCTCCCCTCCTGGGCTTCGGCACGCTCAACCCCCGCTTCAGCATTCGCGATGCCGGAAGCGACCAGGATAGACTGCCCAGTACGAGCACGTGCGTCAATTTGCTGAAGTTGCCCATGTATCGGGATGAAGCGACGCTCAAGGAGAAGCTGCTGTACAGCATCTTTTCGGGCGCTGGCTTTGACCTGAGTTAATACGAACCTGGGGGACTTGGGGAGGGGTTTGTTTTCCAAAGCCCGGATACGAGCTTGAGAGAGGTCAATCAGTCAAGCTTCGAGGTTGAGTCAGTAAGTAGTAGGATTGGAGCCAAACTTTGTTTTTGTATCTTGGACGAATCCACTAGGTGAAGGTATCATCTTTAGATTTGCATATAGCATGGCATTTTTTTTGCAAGTCGCGCGTCCCGACGTACGTAGATCTAGATAGTCTCACCATGGAGTCAATGACCATATCTCCCGCCTTATCGTCAACTTACCACATTTACCACACACACATACGCCCAATGTTGCAGCGAGCAAACTATGACCATTATATGTGTGTGTGTGTGTGTGTGGAGTATGAAGGAGTAAACAAGACCTTGTGTGAGACTTTGATGAAGCAGATTTCGCGGCTTCGGGTATAACTGCTGCTGCTGCTGCTGACAAACACAGCTCATGACAGGTTGCAATTTCCAAAGGAAATGCAAATACTACCACCGTCTCCACTCTCCATAGCACTGAGGCCGCAAGGCCCACAGGCTATATCGCTCAGAAACTAAGACAGAAAAGAAAAGAGCACAAGATGGGGGCGGCTCAGGCCATAGCACACACCTAGTGACGCTCAGGCATTTGATGTTGCCTTTTGAGATAGCTTGCCTGTCCAACGTTAGATTTTTTTTATTCCCCGTTGTTCAACGCCTGACCAAGCAAACTCACCTCGTCAAGCACAGCCTGCAGTCTGCCTTCCTCAGCAACCACCTTCTTGACCGTGTCGCTTACGTTTCCTTCGAGTCCTACGTTACAGCCTCGTGGAAGCCACCTCAGTATGTGGAACGCGTTGGCGTATACGCTTGTCGCTCCCGTCATTCTTCCGTCATCCGGCAGACTGGCTTGCAGGATAATCTTGAATGTCTTGAGCCCCCAGCAGTAGCGAAGGCCTAGGCGCACAAGGTCGGCGAATCCATCGAGGATATCGTGGTGTGAGGGTATCGTGAGGACGACGTGCTTGATAAGGCTGCGGGAGCGCTGGTGGAGCGTCGAAAGGGTATGGATACCGCTCGTTAAGCTGAGAGTGAAGACGTTATCACTATACAGAACTTGTCGCGCCTCCTTGTATATCTGCTTATTTACCCGCAAGATCTCTGGGATGATGGGATCGCTGAGTGGGATACGTTCAGGCCCTGGGCTATGACCCCTTCCGCGCTGATTCCCATAGGGTCGTTGTTCGGGGCCGTGAAACCATACTCTGCGTAGAACGGGGGCTGGTGTCGGAAAGTCGTCTTCCTCTAGTTTCTCAGGAGCGCGGTCGGCATGTAGGAGGAGAGGCTCCTCGCGTACAAGAGCCATGTGGTAGATGTGAATGCGGAGTTCGGCGGGGAGTTTCATGAAGGGGAACGGGGTCTGTAGGGTATCGTCGACGCCGACAGTCGAGTGAGACGGTGTAGGCTGGGATTCGGTCAATGTACTGGCTTCTGGCGTCAGAAGGCCGCTTCGAGCTCGCGTGTTCGAGGGACTGGCGCTGGACGACAAAGTCTCTGCGGGCGCATCGCTGGCTGAAGCGCATGTACGAGACCTCTTAGATCTCGTATCGCTGGGCTCAACCTCATCCGCCAGTGTCAGGCGCTTCCGTCTAGGCGTTGCGCGGCGATCCATTGCTAGCTGCTCTTGTGGAGTAGGAGAAGGAATCTCGGTGGGGGAGGTAACAACGCGTCGGGTTGTACGAAATGCGGCAATCAAATCGAAGATGGGTACGGGAGATAGCCAACCATGGCCGAGTGTGCTGGGAAATAGATTATGAGGGCTGGGCAAGGGCGAGAATACAAATACAAACAGCAAGACTCAAAGGGCTCACTGACAAAACAAAAGACTGAGGAACAAAAGTTCAGGAACAGGCAAGTGGATTCGCGCGGGTCGGAAGGTGGGTGATTGCGGGGTCAAGAGCCAGCAATAGCGCGTCTGAGGTCCTAGCGACCCAAACGTCAGTGCGCATGATGATTGCGTCACGTGTCACCTCGACGAGCAAATCACCGTGAATGCAGCACGGGTGAGGTGAAGGAGAGTCTTCAGCACTCACCACACCTTCCACCATCTTGACAACATGACCTCAACATGGAGGATAGCATTGGTGAAATCTACCTCTGTCCAATAGTTCGGACCAAATTGTTATCTACACAAGCCATCACCGTTACAGACTTATGGCTTTCGTATCAACGCAGTCGGCCGAGGTCGAGAAAATTAATAGTAAAGGGAATCAAGAAAAAACCCCTCCGCATGTCCCGCTCATCTGTTCGGTCGCCTTGTCAGTCTGTTGTGAATCCATGACTATGAAGCCTCCGAACATCCCCCCGCCATAGAGTCTTGGAAGCATGGAATAAAAAAAAAAAATATCGGCTTCCAGCAGCCGCGCTCCAGCTACCAACATTGGACAGCGAAGGCCGCAAACATAGGAAATATGCTCTCCCTATTCCACCTGAAACACTTATAAATCTATTAAGTTGTTGCTTCCAGCTGGTCGGTTCTGCTGTTGCTGCGGCTGGGCACCGAACGGGTTGGCATTGCCATACGGGTTGGCACCAAAGTTGTTTGCTGGGCCAGTCTGCGCAGGCATCAAGCGGTTTTGCTGAGGCAAACCCGTGAACTGCGAGTTCAGGAACGGGTTGTTGCCGGTGGCGTTTGCGTTGAGCTTGTTCAAACCCGCACCAGCCGAGTTGACAAACGTTCCAGGTGCCGTATGTTGAGCAGGAATACGCATATTTCCCACGTTGCCAAAAGTATCCTGGCCTTCTCCTGCTGCCAAGAGCGCATTGAGTCGCGCAGCAGTCGGATCCATTTCCTTTTGCGGTGGTTGCGGCGGGGGTTGCTGTTGTTGTGGCTGCGGCGTCGGCTGCGCAGAGAAGGATGCTTGAGCGCCGAAGCCTGTGTTGTTGAACTGTGGGTGACTCTTCTGCTCGCTGAGGGTGTTGAGCGTCGGTTTTGTGAAGCCTTGGCTGGTCTGTGGTCGGTTAAAGGACTGAGCGAATGGGTTGTTGGAGCCAGTTGGCTGCGGCATGAGGGAATCCTGGGGTTTGTTGCTAGCCCATGGGTTGTGGCTACCAGGCTGAAGTGTGTTCTGGTCTTGCTGCGGTTGCTGCTGGCCCATGTCTCCATAGCCTCCAAACTGGCCGTACGGGTTGTTGTTGAAGGCGGTTTGCTGGGGCTGGATAGTGTGCTGGGGTTGCAAGTACTGCTGCTGCTGCTGCTGCTGGGCGCCAAACTGGTCGAAGGCTGGTTGCTGTTGAAAACCTCCGTAGCCGCCGAAGCCGTTCTGGAAGCCAGTCTGCTGGGGCTGCATTCCTGTAGGCTGCGCGTATGCCGTGTTGAGGAAACCGGTGTTCTGGGGTTGCTGTTGTTGCTGGTTCTGGTCCATCAGGTTGCCGAACCAGTCGACCTGACCCTGCTGCTGATAGCCCTGGTTGTTTCCTGTGGGCTGATAGATGTTGGGCTGAGCAGTCGTCTCTCCAAAGAGGAGGTCTGCATTGGTCTGCTCGAGTTCCTTGCGGCGCAATTCCTCTTCCTCTTTGCTCAGCTTGATTGCCTTTTCCAGATCATCGTCAGTTTCATCGGCCCTGGCTCCGCGTTCTCGGCGTTTCCTCTCTTCTTCGGCCTCATTCTTGCTCGCCTCAAGGGCCAGTCTGAGCTCAATGTCTTCCTCCTCGGTTCTACGGTTGCGGCGCTGGTCGCCGTTGCGCGGGTGCCTTGCGTCGCCATTACCTGGACCGTAGTGTCCCGCTCCAGGGTATTCCTCGATGCCCGTGACTCGCGACTTCCATGACTTTCGGTCGGCTCGCTCGGCGCGCAATCGCTCTTCGTCGAGGATGAGCGACGTCAGCTCCTTGGCCGCCATTCGCACTACATGGGTGTCAGTGGCTTGATTGCGCAGCAGTGTTTTGCAACGGAAATTAGGCTTACCATTCTGTCCAACGTCACGGCCGTCTTCGTCAATGTGCTGAAATTCGCGCAGCGTCTTGATGATGTAAATGTTCTTGCGCGCCCACGTCACAACGAGCTCGGAACCCTCGTGCAGACAGTAGTCGAGCACCTTGAGCGACTTGAGGACGTGGCGCCAGTTCTTGCCTCGGTCGTTGAGGCGCTTGTCGAGCATGTCCATGACTTGGTAGAAGTCGGTCGAACTGGGGCGCGGCGGTTAGCAGAGGTGCAGACAGGGCCAGGCAGGGCGCCATACCTGTTGAATGTGATTTGGGCAATCTCGGCCATGTCTGAGCCCACGGGGCCCCATGGATCGTTGCTCGTGGCTGCAATTGTCAGATGCGCCGCGATACGTGTAGCTGGTGAGGTAACTCCCTACCATTCCGGACCTTGACTTCAACCTGGCTGTACCCCTTTGTCACGTTTTTCACGGATCTTGCGATTTTGCTCATGGCTGCGACGGGGCTCGAGGCTCAGATGGTGCAACGTGGTAAGAGCAGTGGAGCTGTCGGGAGGCAAGGTCGCAAGAGGCGTGTGGTGCAGACCGGAGCTGGAGCGCTGGGCGTATGACGTGCCACGAAGCAGATGGGCTCGAGCAATGGATGGCGCGGAGGTTCCTGGCCCTGTGGATGCCCAGCGACGGTGGAAATGGGGGTGGGCTGTGTGTCTAGTGGGAGGTGTGGCAAGCTGGGGTAAAATGGGTATGCAGGAGAGAGTGTGGATAGACGTAATGCGAGGCTGGTGCGCTGATGACCAGCTGCCGCTGCATGGAACAGGGCCGGCCGAGCGACCGAAGCCCAGGGTCAAAGCGCTACGACGTCAACCCCAGGAATGCGCATGCCGTTCCGCCTCGACGCTTTGGACGCGCACGGCAGGCCATGGCCGTGGCAACCCACCGCGGCGTCCGCTCATGTGCCCGGCTCCACGGCGCCCAGACATGCTGGCGGAGCGTCCCAGTTGCCAGCGGCCATTGCCAATGGGGGGCTGACGAATGCACCTCGTCAGCCGGCTCTCTTGGTTATAGCATGGAATGCTAGGGACATGGGCAAGTCATACAAGCCCTACTGACACGGCATCAGCGCTGGCGGCGGGCTCGGGCTGCTTGGGAAAGCCGGGGACGCGTGCCAAAAGGCGCAGACTGTGTGTTTTGGAGATGGATGCTGGTGCGCCTACAGTAGCAGCAGGTTGGGCACCATCGGCACACACACACACATAGCCACCCTGGACGGGGGCATGGCCTTGGACATGGCGAATTGCACGCTTTCCACACAGCCTACCATGGGAGCCCGAGACGACACATGCCAACAGTCCGCACAATACCCACACGCCCAATGATTAACTAATTCACATTTTTTGGCTCTGCCTGCGCAGAAAAGTTTATAGTCTAAAAAGCGGATATAAGTCCTTCATTAAATACCAGTCTAGAGATTTGCCCATGTGCATGAGAGAAGAGCGAGACAGAAAGATATGGGCGCCGAGACGCCCTTGCCAATCTTGATGTGCCGCCCACACGCCAAACGCCTGCCATCCCGTGGTGAGCTCTCGATGGAGAGCAAGTAGAAGTAAACTCCTGGAAACCCGTCGCCAGACAAAACCAAAACGGAAATGGGGACACACACACACTCGCAGCGGAAAGGGAGCCAGCAACAGCCCGGAAACATGTAAAAAAAAAGAACAACCCTCAGCGCTTCGAGTCCTGCGAACCCCAACGAGTCCACCATGCAGGACATTTTGATGTAAGCAATATATAACACGCCAGTGTGCAGAAGGAAATTTTTGGAGAGACACAGGGGTATAGGTCCTGCCAGCCGAAAACATCAGTAGTCTAAAGGACTCGCATGTATTAGTTTTACCCGCGTAAACAATGGTACACCGTCGTGGCACCATGGCTCGAAATGGCCCTGTTGACTTCATGGCACCTCGTCCGCGCTAGGCGGTCGAGACTGCTCATGCAATTACATGGGACGCGATACGGAATTTTCTTTTATCAGGGGTCGATCGAGGCATTAGGTTACCGCATTGTTGTACTTATTGAACGGCAGGAGCCCACATCTCATTGCCCATCCGCTGTTGGTTGGGGTTGTAGTGGTCGGGCTCGGTGCTGTTTGGGCGGCGGATGTTGTTGTGCTGGTAGTACATGCCGTTCTGCGCTTGGTACTGAGGCTCAGGGTACACATAGCCGTTGTCTGCAGCGCCCGGAGAGGGCAGGGCCTGCTGGCCAGGTGATTGCCAGCCCATGGCAGACATGTGCGGGCTTGCGTTGGCGCTGTTGGTGCCGGACTGGTTGTGGTTTGCAGACGCAGGAGGCTCAAGAATCGGCGGAGGGCCATAGGCGCTCGGGTGAGATGTAATGGCCGGGCGAGTGCCGCTCACATTGGACGCGTACGATTGCGCAGTGAGTGCAGGAGAGGCACGGGGGCTAGGCTGGGGCATCTCGTGGCGCATGTGAGGAGGGACGTTCATACCGCCCATGTAGGCATAGTCGGAGCCCTGGCGGTGCAGTCCAGGCATGCCACCCGCAGGCATTCCATTGGCGGGCGAGAGAGACAGCGTGCGGTCATTGGGCGAGGGTGTGCCGAGCGGTGAAGCCGTCTCGGAATAGTCACCGCCGTCAGAGCGGCCCGTCCTGCTTGAAGCAGAAGCACGCGAGGCAAGGGCGGCGGCCGTGGCGGCGGCAGCTTCTTCCACCGTGCCGGTGTGGTGGTTTTGATGACGTGTCAAAGTAGTGCGGCGCGTAAAAGTCTTTTGGCAGTCGGCATACGGGCACTTGTATGGACGCTTGCCAGAGTGAATGCGGCGATGGCGCGCCAGCGAGCTAGAATCACTAAAGGGCTGATTTCGTCGTTAGTCAGGAAAAGCCAGACGGGGGGGGAGGCGAGGGGAGGCGGGGGCCCATGTGGAAGAGGGCAAAAAAAAACTCTTACCTTGCCGCATCGCTCACACATGTGGGGCTTCTCGCCAGTGTGAACACGTTGATGAACGGTCAGGGCAGAACGCTGAATGAACTGCTTGCCGCAGTTTGGGTAATCGCAAACATGAGGGCGGATGCCGCTGTGGATACGTTCTGCAGGTGTCAGTGCGCTGCTTTTTGATGTTGCGGTCCAAGCTTCGTACCATGACGTGCGAGGTCACTGCGTCGCGCGAAGCCTTTACCGCAGGTCGAGCACGCGAAAGCCTTTGGTGGACCCGTGTCGGACGCGGGACGACCACCATTGTGCTGGTGCTGGACCTGCGTGTCTGGCATCTGTTGTTGCTGAGCGTACGCGTGGTCTGGGGGGTTTGGAATGTAGTTGCTGTTGTTCAGCATGGGCATGGGCGCCTGCATCTGCGAGGGCGACGGGTAGCGGAGACCGTTCATGTGCTGCTGGGGAATTGATGGGTACGAGGGCAGGGACTGCTGGGGCTGTTGCGACGAGTAGCGCGACGAGTCTGACGGGTGAGGCGAGACGCCGCGCTCAGAGCCGTTTTCGGATTTGATGTGGCCGCCGTTCAGATACGACGGCGGCGCGCCAAAGTGCTGCTGCTGCATTGCGTGCTGCATGGTGAAGAGCGCTCCGGTTCCTAGCGACGCTGTTAATCTCGCGTTCAGAATCGTGTCGAGCTCCATTTGTCTCGAAGCGAGCTTCGCGTGACGAGCGACGAGAAAGAGAGAGAGAGAGGGTGTGTGTGTATGTGTGAGGGAGAAAGAAAAGGGCACTAATAGGCCCGGCGAGCAAGAAGGACGGGACGGTGCGCACCAGGTTAGGGTGGGAGCGGGCTGGCGAAGGGCCTCGCAATTGCAAAAAGTCGCGCTGTGATGGCCGCGATGGGTAGCAGACGCGGTGGTGGCTGTGGCAGTAGTGATGGTGGTGGAGGTGGTGGAGTTTGGCGGTGGTTGGATCCGCGGACGTGTTGGACGACAGCGTCGAGATGGATTGGATTGGATTGGATTGGATTGGGGGGGTCAGCAGGAGTCGAGTCGTGGATCGGACCGCGCGCCGGTCAATGCAGGACAAGAGCACTGGAAGGCTCAGGTTAGCTGGGGCGTGGGCGTGGGTGAAGGAGCGTCGTCGAGGCGGGCGTCAGGAGCGAGCGGAAGGGGGCAAAAGAGTGGCGCGCGAGAAATTGTCGGTCTGGCAGCGAGGCCGGGCAGGTGGTTTGGGGCAGGAAAAAGGGGAGTGGAGCGGTGAGAAGGGTCTCTGTGGCGGGAATGCGCGGGCAGCACGGGGCGAAAGCGGACCGTCGACATGCAGCAGTACGTACCTGAGATAGATATAGACGGGTGAGGTGTCGGGGCAGGGGATGGGCGGTGATGGGGGGACGTGGTGTTGAAAGTCTGCAGGTACTTCTTTCCTCGTTGCGCGTAGTTGCCCAGAAAGTGCAAAAGGCGCTAGGGCGGATTGGGCGGTGGGCGGATCCCTCGCAGGCGCTAGTCAACAAAAGGGAGCACGATGTGCAAGGCAGATGCGCCGACGTCCAAGCGCCCGGCGGCCTCCACTACACACCACTTGAACTGACACTGCCGCCTATGCAGCCCTGGTGCGAGGACCGACTGAAACTGCGAGTCTGACCGACGGCTTTTCCACGCGACGGGCCCCGGACAGGGGTTGCGTGAGATGGCCACCGCCGCCGCCGCCTGCGTCTTGTCGTGTCGGCGTGTCGTGTCGTGTCGTGTGTCGTGGTGACCTGTCCCCGTCGCAGTCCCGCCTGCCCTGCCGCAGAGACGGGCACGCTCACTGGCACGCTCGCTGGCACGCTCCCGACGCGGCGAACCGTTGTCCTATCCGAAGCACCGCGTCGTGTGCAGGCGCTGCGTGTGTGTGCGTGCGTGTGTGTGTGTGTGTGTGTGTGTGTGCAGCGACGGGTGTGGATGCGCGGGCACCCACACACCCTGACGGCCTAGTGACGTTGACGGGCTAACATCAAGGGCTGCTTAGATTGCTTCCGCCCAACAATCGGCCGACCAGCCCTTTTTTTGATTTTATTTTATTAGGCCTGGCGGTGCTGCTGTGGCGCCTGGTCGCCGTGTTTCCTGTGGCCGGCAAAAAAAAAGAGCAGCGAAAAAAAAAAAAAAAAAGACATTCAAGTTGCAACTGCATGTCATTGTCAATCGGGTTCGCGAGCCGTGCGCTGACAGTGTGTGTTCTTTGGGGCGAGGGGTGAGGGGTGAGGGGGGGAGGGGGGGTGGTGTGGAGGGCATTCACGTTCATGCGGCATGGCTCAGTGTGGCAGGCAATTGGCCCGCTTGCGTCTACTCTGTGCAGATGTGAGGGCTATCGGGGTCGCTTTGTTCGCAAGGAGGCGGGCTTTGAGATCTGGAGAGGATCTCTGGAAGGCTGCTCGCAATGCGATCTGTCTCGGGCGCTGTGGACAGGGCAAGCATTCGCTGCGAGGGCATGGAAGCCGGGCACGTTGAAATAGACGACATCAATGCAGGCCATGGCAGCGAGCAGAGGCAGCGGTGGAGCAGCGCTATCCTTGCGCTCATCTTGCGCTCGCGACACTACAGCTTCACCATGACGATTCCTGCTAGTATGCCGCTGCTAGCTGTCAAGGAGCCGGGGCAGTCATGCGGCCACGACCTGGCTGGTGGCGCTTTTGTGCACAGATGGAGATCCACCGCGCAGCGGACAGATAGCAGTGCTGTGTTCTATGTCCAACGCGCATCCTCACGTTGAGAGCAGTGGCAGCAGCGTGTGTTGGGTTGACGCAATGCTGTTTGTTGGTATGGTTGGGACGGGGTGCCACTGATTGGGTTTGATGACAGTCCCCCTTCCCTCGTGCTCGCTCCCTTGGGCAGCGCATGCGGGCGCGGGCAGCAGTGCATGTCCCGTTTTGTGCGGCATGTGGGAATGGCATTACGTTGACACATAATAGTGTGAGTGTATAGAGAAGGGTATGTGCTGTGTATGTAGGTACATAGTAGATACAAGAGCAGGCGCACGGCAGGGCAGCAGCAAGGCGACTCAGCGGTTCGTGGAGGCATTGCTGGGATCAGGGCGCATGGGCCCAATTTCGAAGGGCTATAGAAGGCCGCTAGAAGGCAGGAGGCACGGTGCATAAGACTGTCTTGGGCCGTGCAGCAGGCGACAAGTCTGCGTCCAAGCACACGCCGTGTGCATGTGCTGTACCTGTAGCATGTTATGTCGTGTATATGTACACGGCAGCAAGTATATCAGCCCTCTGAACCACCACAGCTAGCTGGCCATTTTAGCAGCAGCGCCGCCTATTGGGCGCGGCGGGGGGGGGAGAAGGGGAAAAAGAAAAGAAAAGCGCCGAGCATGGGAGGCGCGCTGCTCTCTGCCTTGTGAGACGGCCGTGGCCGCCCCTGAGCGCGCGGCGGAAACACTTTGGGCTCACGAACGGCGGGCCTCCACCCACACAGGCACACAGGCAGCAGGCACCACGAGGCCGCCACAGGTGCAGGTGCAGGTGCAACCCTCCACCCCCCCCCCAGAAACACACCTGCGTGAGTTCATGGGGGGGGGTCAGCATGGCCTCATTGGCGATATATATGGCAACGCATACACACACCCACGCCCATCCAACCAACCAACCATCCATCCACCCATCCATCCATCCTCGCTCTCACACCCACACCCACACCCACTCTCACACCGCGCCTCTGTCGACATCAAGGTATAAGCAACGTCAAATCGCCGATGGTAGCAAGTCTGTCTCGAGAGCCCCCTTGTCCCCCTTTCACCTTGTTTTCCCGACCAGCGCGGAAGGCGGCGTAGTGCCTTTCGGGGGGGCGGCAGGCAGATTGGGGCAGGGAGGGGGCCCGCTGCCCAGGCCAGGGAAAAAACGGCACGTGGTGGGTTTTCGGGCAGAGAGACGGGCGACTAGGGCGGGCGTCTGAATCTCTCCCACCGACATTTCAACCACGCACGTCGTGTAGTAGGCGTGGACAGTTGCGGTGAGGAAAGCGATGGACATGGCATGCTGAGGTGCTTTGCTTTGCTGCTAGTCGCGCTGCTAGGGGAGCCCGGCGCCCGGTATGCTTCCGCTAGATCCGTCTGTGCTTGCGCGTCCCACCTAGGCAGGCAGGCAGGCAGGCACCAAGGAAGGAAGGCACCAAGGACGGCAGGCGGGCAGGCGGGCAGGCAGGTGCAGCGCGGCCAACGTATTGGCCGCGCCCCCCTCACTTTCCCTCTCTCCGCCACGCCAACCCCTCGCTGCTCCATCCAGCCTCACTGCTACATCAGTCCAAGGACACACTACACACGTTTCCATCATCGACACACGTCCCACACCACCCCTGGCCGCTCACTGCTGCTAATTGTGCACGCGCAAAACTATAGCTCGCCGGCCCCTGCATTATCACGATGCGCATCACACACACATGCCAAAAGCATAAACGATGGCTGCCTGTGTCGGCGGCGGCCTTTGCCAGCGCGTCGCTCGCCGATCGCCGCGCGCAGCCTGCAACCGCGTACGTCTCTCGTTGGCGCTCTTCTTTGTTGCTGCCACTGCGGCCAGGACTAACGCGCCTAGCCGCTGCACCCGCTGCCCGCTAGCCGGCCACATTTGTTTCATGCGGTGGCCAAATTCAAGGAGCTATTCTTGTCGCTCGACTTGGAAGCACAGGGCGCCGCAGATTTGGCTGCCATGAGGCCTCACACACACGCCCACACTGGCCCAGCGGTTGCGGCCCCAGCTCGCCTTGGCCACGCCCTGGACCAACGTTCCGGCGCAAGGGCGACTGGCTGCGGCCTTCCCTGCACGCCCTCGATCCGAGCGTCCTTCTCTGCAATTTCTAGAAACCCGCCTTGCATTGCTCGTCACGCACTCACTCGCCCTCGCCCTGCCTCTTCCAGAAAACTGCCCCTTTCGCCCGCCCTGGTGGCCCGCCCGCGCTGCCCGCATGCACGCCCACATGGGCTCGCGCTCGTGGGCCTCACAGTGTCCACGTTGCACCCCCATGCCCCGTCATGCTGCCGCTGCTGGCTGCTCACTCGATGCCGCTGCTGTTGGCACTGCCGCTACCGCTACCACACACACAGCACTGCTGCCAACTGCCACGGCTGCTGCTGCTGCTGCTGCTGCTGCTCTTGCTCTATCCGCCCCGCCCTCCAGTGCGCGCTTTTAGTCAGCCCACGGCCCATGTTGCTGCGGCACTGCTTCCGACTCGCTTGGATCCGCATGAAAGCGACTGCTCACAACCTTCCCCATTCGGCCCTATCCGTCGTGCGCTCCTGACCAGCCCTGCTTCATCGGCCCATGCCCAGCCATGCCCACGATGGTATCGTGAGCCTCGTGTTGCCCCTATTGATCCGCGGCAACATTGTCGACCTTTCTTTTCTTTTCTTTTTGCTCTCGTGGGCGGCCGACGTGGATGCATCCCCCACCGCCGCCGCCGCCGCCGTGGTGGGCTGCAGTCGTCGCTCAAGTCAGCCAGTCATCAAGGCCAAGTTGCCCTCGCCGGGCCTGACCCGCAAACCCACCCAGATACTTGGAACACGGCCAATGCCATTCCCGCCGTCGGGCCCTGGGGGGGGGGTTGCACGACCATAGCTTGCCGTTCCCGTGCACGCGGTTTCCCACTGCATTGCAAATGGCATCCTACGGTGCGCGCGGTCGACCACCAAACGCTGCAAGAGCGTGCGAAACATGATGGCGGCACAGACCCGTCAGATAGCAATGACTCGGTTTGCGCCATCAAAACTTCTGTTTCCTACCGATAGGCTGATGGACGTGAATCTACAAACTAGTATACATTTGCGAGACCGACGCAACCCTCCCTCTGGTCGGCCCGCGCAGCCCTGACAAAAACAGACGCCTGACAAAGCCGACTTACGCCCGATATGAGCAAGGACAAGAAAAGGCCCGACGCCTGACTAAGAATCACACCCTTCAGATCCTGGAGACTCCGCCTGTACCAAACAACTCCATCTTCACCCGTTCGCCTGGAACGCCATAGCTCTTCAGCTTGGTCTCAACGTCGACCATGAACGCTGTGGGTCCGCAGCAGTAGTACCGTGTCTGGCGGTTGTCCGTGTGCACGAGGCTCCTATCAACCCCGTCCAGGTTCACGCGGCCTTTGACGTTGTAGTCCTGTCCCTGACTATCCTCTTGGCTTGGACCGGACAGGTGGTATACTGCATGCACGTTCCCATGGTTCGCTGCACACTGGTCCATGTGCTTCTTGAACGCCCGCGTCCTCGAGCTGCGCGCTCCGTGAATCCAGGTAATGGGTCGGCATGATTTGGTGTCCATCAAAAAGTTGAACATGGACATCAAGGCAGTAACACCGACTCCGGCCGAGATGAGGACTACAGGCGCGTCTTCGCCGACTTTGTCCACATCCATGAAGAAGTCGCCGAACGGATGCGACACTTTGACCACATCTCCCTCGTGCTTCTTGTCGTGCAGAATGCTGGAAATGTAGCCCTCGTGTGCCATGTGTTTGGCCTCTCCAACCTCGACCCCAGGCTCTTTCTTCACGCTGATTCTCAGATAGCTCTTGCCAGGCGCGTCGCTCAAGCTGTACTGTCTGGCCTGCCACACGCCGCCATATAACTCTTCAACAAAGACCTTGACCGAAATGTACTGTCCTGGCTTGAACATGGGCAACTTGAGATTGGCATCGACGGGTTGCAGATAAAATGATGTAATCTCGTCACTCTCCTTTTCTTTCTTCACAATGGTAAAGTCTTGCCAGTCCGGCCAGTACGCCGTCTCCTTGTACAGGTCGCCCTCGTTTCCAATCATAATGTTTGCCAGCTGCCAATACGCCGCGCCCCACGCCTCGAGTATCTCTGGCGTTGCTGCATCCCCAAGCACGGTCTTCATGGTTTCCAGTAGATGCTTCCCCACAATGGCATACTGATCCGGGCGAATGTACAAGCTTGCATGCTTGTGGCAGATGAGCTCAACCGCAGGGCTCAGTTTTCCCAGGTCATCAATGTTGGCCGCGTAGGCATACAGCGATCCGGCAAGGGCTTGGGCCTGGTGTCCCGTAGCTTGGTGTGTGTTGTTGAAAATGTGCTTTAGCTCGGGGTTGGCTTCGAGCATATCATGATAGAATCGCGACGTGATGGCTGTGCCGTGTTCAGCAAGAACAGGCACAGTACTCTTGATGATTTGGACTTGAGCGGGCGTCAGAGCAGCCATGCTAGTGGTGAACAATTGTTTTTTTTTCTCTTCTTCTTCGATAGTATAACGTCAATGCTTGGTTTGATCGTAGTGGTTGATATAGGTCGTCGTTGTGTCGTTGTCGTTGTATGATAAATAATATATATCCAAGCCACTCACCACCTCCTACCAACAACCACACTATATACTTTGCCTTTAACCCCCCATATCTCTTCGCCTTTCCTACAAGTTCCGCCAAACACTACATCTCCGCGGCAAACCAAAAAAAGCCCAGCTTTCTCTACCGTAGCAGCACATGGCCGTTGAGAGTCACACACACACGCGCGCGCGCGCGCGCGCGCTCCGCCTCTGGCCGGAGGCTTGCCGCAAAACTACCTAGAGACCAGATTGCTAATACAGCATCCATGTATGGATGGATGAAAGGATGAATGGCCATGCGTTTCCCTGTACTGACTAAAAAAAAACCCGCATGATGCGATTCTGACGTGACAAACTCGCTTGGTCTTTTTTTTTTCTGCTACTACACATGCCACATGGCGTGTATGGATATGCCTCGGAAGAAAGAGCGAGAGAGAGAATAAAAAAGGCTTGTATAACGCCTAGTACCAGATCTTGGGAAGGGGGGGGGGAAAGAAGGGATTGGAAATTTGTTACGTATGTGGAAATGCTTTCTCCGCTACTTCCGCTGTGGTATGGTATGGTATGGTAACTGGGTTGTCGGAGTTTTCCGCCTCGTTCCACCACCACCAGTACCAACACCAAGGTTGCTGTACAAGCTGAGATTAGGTGCGCACCACGTGGGATGGAGCAGGGGTCTGATCTGTTACGCTTGTAGTATGTATTTGTGTCTGTGTATGTATGTGCGTGCTGTGATGTTCAGGCACGGGGGACCCCGAGTATTTGGTACGAAGAGAAAGGAGCGTTGATTGGGTGTGTGTGTGTGTGTGTGTGTTGTTCAGACCACGTATCCAAGTATCAAGTTAGTACTTTATTGTAAATTATGGTAAGAAATCAAGGATGCCGGATCCTCGTCTCCCATGCCCGGCTGCAACACACATACACACGCTTTACTTGGTGGGTCTGTGTACGTATTTCACGTACATATTAAGACTCAGGTCTACCTTGAAGAAGAAGAAGAAGAAGAAGAAGAAAAACGACACATATCCAATTTCTACAGCACACATAGTCACTTAGTGTTACATGTACATATCTTAAACAATACAATACAATACAATACACACAAATCTTCTTCTCACGTGCATGCTGCAAAACCCTACGTACACACAGATGTATGCTATGACTAAGAATCACACCATGACCATCCGACGGCCCATGGTCCTCGGCATGGGGGTTGACATGGTCATGGTCGTTCGACACACACGCACGCACACGCACACGCACACGCAGGAACACACCCCCGGTAAGTAACGCAACCAGCAGCCGCTTTGCCGCGCCGACTTTTCCCGGCAGACAAGATATTGCGCCTGTCATGCTGGCTTACATTTGCTTGGACGTGCTTGGGTTTGCTTACGGCTGTTCAATCAGCACATGGTCATAGTAAAGTAACCAAGTTAATATATTTCTTTGCTTTTTTTTCCCGCTAAGTACTGTAAGTATGCCTCGGTAATATTCGTGGCACGATCGCTGGCTTCTGGCGGCTCTGCGGGAACCCGTGAGGATGACGGCCATGATGATGACAATGCTACGATGATGATGATGATGATGATGGTCAGGTTGCAGGGAAGGGCAAGCGGAGACTTTTCTCCTGTGCGTGTGTGCGTGGTTGCCGTCGTCGCTGCGTTTCTCCGCGGAGATGGCCATGGGGGGAGCGGCTGGAATGCGGTTACGGGTCCAGGGAATGCAATGGCATGATGCTGTCGAGGTTCAAGTTGCAGTCTTGATGCTCGTATGGCTGTGTGTAGTAGCATGTGGGAAAGGCTGCGTCGCTGTTGGTACGTGCGGTGTGGTGTTGGATTGGGCTGCAGATGGTGGCTGGTCGCCTGCAGAAATGGGGACTTGAAACCCGTGACGCTGGGAACGAACGTGCACGCGTGTTCGGTGCGCCCGAGGCTACTGATCAAGGGGGCGTTTGGCACCGTCATGTTGGGTACGTGTAGACGCCGTTGTGGAAATCCTAATGTTTTTTTTTAGGTTGTTCTGTTCAACGTGGATTTCCATTTGCATGGTGTTGTGGCTACGTAGACAGACGTACTTATCGTGTTGCGCTTATTCTACTGCCATGTCCGCATCGAAGACTTACTCAGCATGCTGTGCGGCGTCAAGAGTCTTAGCCAAGCACTCGCATCTCCAATATGGTTGCTTCGACTCGGCTTCCAAGCACGTCGAGTGAAGAGTCATCTTGGTCGTACAAACCAGGCGTCTTCATCCACCGGGCACTTTGTCGCTTACTGTAGACTCATCCATAGACTCATCGTGGCATCCAACCCCATGGGGCACCTAACATTGTGGTACTGCATACGTCGTGAGTCAGGCCAACCACAAGAGTCACCTTGAATCACTATTGCTGGCATAAAAGAAAGACCGAAAGTTCAATATATCGAATCTGCAGCGCCACGACACGAGCAACTTGCAACAGCACCAAACACCATGACGGACCAAAGTAAGCCTGGCGGTTAGCGGCCCCTGGCGGTAAACCCATGATTAACTCGATACAGTCCCGAAAGACGTCAAAGCCCAGGTCAAGGCGTCCTACGACGCCATAGCAGACACGTACAACACCGTTTTTACCAAGCCCCATGAGGAGCTTCGTCTAGACTACCTCGGCCGTCTAGTCACTAGCCTGCAGTCCTACCACCAGGACACGGCCACGGTACTCGAACTCGGCTGCGGTGCCGGCGTACCCGCAACAAAGTTTCTGCTGGAATGCTCAAGCCCCTCGTTCCGCATCACCGCCAACGACATCTCCACCGCGCAGCTCAGCCTAGCCCGCTCCAATCTAGCCAGCTACGCCGACAGACTGACGCTGCTCGAGGGCGACATGCTGAGTCTCTCGTTCCCGCCAGAGACGTTTGATGCCGTCACGGGATTCTACAGCATCATCCACCTGCCACGTGACGAGCAGACGCTGCTCATGGCTAAGATTGCACAGTGGCTGAAGCCAGGCGGATACTTGCTGGCAAACTTTTCGGTTGCGGCCATGGCCGCGCAGGTCGAGGACCAGTGGCTGGGTCACGACAAGGGCTGGATGTTCTGGAGTGGGTGGGGAGAGGAGAAGAGCGTGGAAATGGTGGAAAGGGCTGGACTCAAGGTTGAGGTCAGGGAGGTGAAGCAGGCCGAGGGCGATGCTGTCTTCGTTTGGGTGTTGGCGAGGAAGGAGAGGTAAGCGGGCATTTGACATGGAATGTTGGAGGCAGGTTGGTATCTGGGGAAAAGTTATACATATAGACGGACACTTTATTATGAGCAGATGCTCTAGCTACTCATCCTATTCTGATGGTGTGTGCTTGGAATTCCTCACATCTCTTATTTTTCGTACACGACAACACGCACCCGTTGTCATCCTTCTCACCACACACACCCCTTGCAAGTCGCACACGACCCCCTTCCCCCTTGGATCCTCGGACCCAACCCTCCAACGGCCAATCACACCCCTCGTCCCACCTTTACCCAGCCACAGCCAACAGCCCCAAATACACCGCTACCCGCTACTTATACCACGGGCGTTCTAGTCCTCTGCGCCACACACCAGAAGCAAAAAAAAAAAAAAAAAAAAGTAACCTCCCTCCTCAGCTCCCCCATTGCGATCTACCACTACCCGCCAACAAGAAAAAACAAACAATGAAGCAAAAGCAAAAGAAAACCCTCCCCCCCTCAACTTCCATCGCGACGAGTTTCCAGCCGAATCGGAACAAAAGGAAAGCTAGTAGACAATGTCGAAGCGGTGTGTACACCTACTTACAGGCTAGGCGGTACGGGGAAACGTCCGCTCATCATAATTACCTATACTGTACTTGT